CAAGATGATGACACGTGTCTTCGGCATCAGTAAATTCTTGTTACTATAATCACGACACGTACCCGTCGGATCACAAGTCCTTGTTCTCCTGAGGTACTGTTCATAGGGATTAATGACATCAAGTACGTTTTACGTATCGACACGTATCCCTCGGGTCGGATATGGGTACATCGGTACTGAGATGTACCCGTTCATGTATCCCTCGGTACCGAGATGTATCCGTCCAAGATGGCGTTCTCTGTTCCTGCAGAGGCTATTGATGTACAGGTCACTAGCCTAGGCTAGGTTAGGTTAGCTATCATGATCTCGTCTTACACAATTGGTGTCAGAAGACACAAGAAGGCAGAAGACACAGTCAATGTGGAATGGACGCGTGACATATTGTGTCACATCAGAGACAAAAAGACCAGATGCCCTTGCTGACTCACTTGGGAAAGCAAGTATTTAATTACACCATTCCCTTGATGAGACATGAGACAACATTTAATGCGGTAAGGCTCAGAAGTGAAAGGTAATAAATGTCTCTAAGACTGGGTATTTATTACATCTTTGCCGAGAGGAGTTCATTAAACAGTCGGCAGGCCAATGATGCAGCTTTGGTTACTCGGGATCCTGAGCAGTTAAAAGAGAAGACATCCCTCATAGGAATCAGTGCGCACATTGCCCATATCTAATGATCACCAACTGACCACACTGACAGCAATCATGAGTTTTTGAGGTATAAATACTCCTCACAAAAGGCAAGATGGTATGCAACGAAAAACCTTTTCTCAAACCTATACTCAGTGTTTTCTTCTTCACCTCTCTCAAAAATTGACTTGATCGTCGAAGGGGATACGTCGAAAAACACTCTGACGCCCTTCTAACTTGTCTTTCTCTGTTCCAAGAACCTCCTTCAGCCTTATTGGACCGCTCCCTTGATCCACAAAAATCACTCATTACTGTTTCAGGCCACTAGCGGATTTCAGTCTGTTCCAAATAACAAGGTTGACCATTCGACTGACTCACTCGAGTTCACCAAGGGAGAGATCTATTCTCCTGTTTATATTGTACAAGATTCTGCACTCACAAGTGGTATTCGTATAGAAAGTGGTGTGACCAAAAGATAGTTCATGATATGTTTATAATTATTCTGTTTTTTTTTTAATTTTTAAAAAGGCAAATAAAATACAAAACAGCTATATTCAATCTTTCCTAATAATAATTTTCAAAAGAAAAGGTCTTTTGCGTGAACCTATGGCTGTGGACACGAAAAAGGCAAAAAGAAAATGATTGACTAAATAAACTTTGCTCTTTGAAATATTTTAAAGATTTTTTACTTTAAACTTTCAAACACTAAAAATAATGTGCCCAAACTAAATGATATTAGGATTTTGGACTGCAAATATAGTATTAACGAGCAATTGCTCGTGTCTGAAGACACAACGTAACGAAAAATTAAAATAAAACTCAAAAAATCTTACATTACGTAAAAACTCTTTGCAACCTAAAATAACATGTCAATTTGAAATCAAGGTAGTCCATACCATTAACTAGAAATTTTAGCATAATTTTATTTGAAAATTATATGGAGCCTTTCCTGAGTTCTTGGTTAGATATGAAGCGGACTGATGCAAGCAACTTAAAGTCGTCAAACTATTCACTTTTCTAATCAAAAAAAGAGGAATTTTCTTGGGGGCAATCAAGGCACACCCATTTCGTTACTTCATTTGGAATACACCCCCCAAAAAAAAATTAATAATAATAAAAAAAAAAGGCCCCCCTTGTTCCACCGTGGTATCATGTAACCAAACCAATTCATGAAGAACTTGTCTGACGTGTTGGATGATTTGTGGTTGATATAGTTTTTAACTTTATGAGCCATTGTTGATATTAATTTTAAGTTACAATTCTATAATGATGCTATACGGTCTTTTTGATCGCAGAGGCAAGAGTGGACAATGTCTGTAAAGCACTAAAAATATGTGTTCTTGGCAGCCCATACATACTTATGTTACACAGTGCCCTTTATGGTTTCTCTTGAAAAGAAAGAGATTTTTTTTTGGTAAATAAGAGAATGAGATGTTACTGGTTCTCCGTTTTTGTATTGTGATTGTCTCAGTTGCATATTATACATTTTATAACCTCATTATTTCCTTTTTCTTCTGTAGAAAATCAAAGAAGCAGGAGACAAGAAGAAAAAAAAGGGCGACGGTGATGATGGTGAGAAAGATATTGATAGATATGTAAGTTGTAAGAATGGGAAATCATTTAAGAAGGCAAAGAAGAGATGATGCAGCAGATACCCTCTGCATATCTAGTTTGATTTTGATTTTGAGTTTGTAGTGTCTTATTATGGGCATGCTTGTAGCAAGAAAAGACCCATTACGGTATTTGTAAGGTGATTTTGATTATGATATAATATTGTTCTTGCCATGGCAAACAAATGAACATTGTTGAAATTGGCAGAGAGGCATAATATGAACCTAAACCATTTGATTTCTGGGTCTTGCATGCATGTATGTATGTATGTATAATTAAGACTTGAATGTACATTGTAACCTAGATTTAACAACAACAAAATGGTTTGTAATCTTGTTAAATAGTCAAGTGAGTGACGCTCAAAGGTGTACCAAAATAATTTATGCCAAATAGTTTTTGCATCAAATCACATTCTAATTATCAGAAGATGGAATTTCGTTATAGCCGCAAACTTGATCTCCTAGTAGCTTTCTATATCGCTTTTAGATTAAAGATGGAATTTCACTTGCATGTGTAAGAATCCCTGCCAACAATACTTTATCCTCAAATTTATTGGGCTAACCGATTTTATTTAATTATAGTTTTTTTACCCTCAATAGTTTATTTATTCTTTTTTTCTTAATTTCGCCTTCTAACTTTGGACAAGTTGTGATTCCCATGGCAAGTTTAATGTGTTGAAATTCAGTTCGTCTCTTCTGATTTTNCATTAACCCATCTAAGGAACAGACGGAGTTGTTGGCATGGAGGAGGAAGATGACGGAGGAGTTTCTCTTTGAAGCTCCTTAACTACAGCAGCCAGTGACTCAGGGTTCAGACCCAGATCGCAGAGAGCAATAAGAACAGAGAGCGTGTGACGATCAAGCCCGGTCTCAAGAATGTTTGACATATGAAATAACAGGTCCAGAGATTCCCGGGCAGTTCGTGCAGCCTCTGGATCCATATCGAGACTATAAATGACCTTTATTTCAAAATGATTGTACTCAAATAGACTAAAATTGTAAGATGAAACCTGAAAATGGAAATAAGCACTATAATATATCGCTCACCAAATTTCCACAGATGGAAAAAATGACAATAAGCAAGCATATGTATGCATTAATGAATGGGATAGTTATTAGTTAACTCCCCCCCCCCCCTCCTCCTCCTCCTCTTGAGGATGCCATAGTGGAGTTGGCCCTTAGTCTTAAGTTTAGGGCAGCTACATACATTTTTCCCAGTTATGCCAGAGTCTATTGCAGTCGTGTTGGAGATTCTTTTTTTTTTTTTTTTGAAAAACAAAAAAGATTATTTGGTTATCATCAAATGATTTTGGTCAGCTTCTTTGGGTTTTGACCAAGCCTGTGGTGCTTGTCTCCCTTTCATTCATTTTGATAATGTCCACGTTGGATTTTTTGGGAAATGATTACCTAGACAATTTGGCAGACTCGTCTGCAGTTGGGTTCCTTCCACTTCCCTTTTCTCAAAAGAAAAGGAAACCAAAGGCTTCGGGATTATGGATAGTAAGAGAAAGATGTAGTAGTTGTAGTTTTGTTTTTCTGAAATAGTCCTTGGAAATAACTAGCTCTCTAAAAGCCTCCCCTCTTCTCTATCGATTTATTGAGGTACATGTGCGTGCAGTATCTTGCACAATATAAATACGAGAACAGATCTCTCCCGTGATGAACTCGAGTTAGTCAATCAAATGATCAATCTTGCTATTTGGAATGGGCTGAGATCCGTTGGTGGCCTGGAACGATAATAGGTGATTTTCGTGGATCAAGGGAGTGGTTCAGTAAAGCTGAGGGAAGGTTCTTGGAATAGAGAAAGACAAGTTAGAAGGGCGTCGAAGTGTTTTTCGGCGTATCTCCTCCGACGATCAAGTCAATTTCTGAGAGAGGGGAAGGAAAAAACACTGAGTATAGGTTTGAGAAAAGGTTTTTCGTTGCCTCACGTCTTGCCTTTTGTAAAGAGTATTTATATTTCAAAAACTCATGATTGCTGTCAGTGTGGTCAGTTGGTGATCATTAGATACGGGCAACGTGCGCACTGATTCCTATGAGAAATGTCTTCTCTTTTAACTGCTCGGGATCCCGAGCAACCAAGGCTGCGTCATCGGCTTGCCGACTGTTTAATGAGCTCCTCTCGGCAAGGATGTAATAAATGTCCAACCTTAGAGACATTTATTACCTTTCACTTCCGAGTCTTACCGCATTAAATGCTGTCTCATCAAGGGAATGATGTAATTAAATGCTTGCTTTCCCAAGTCGTGTGTCAGCAAGGGTATTCAGTCTTTTTGTCTCTGATGTGACACAATATGCCACGCGCTTATTCCCCATTGGCTGTGTCTTCTGCCTTCTCGTGCCTTCTAACATCAATTGTATAAGACAAGGTCATGATGACTAACCTAGCCTAGCCTAGGCTAGTGACCTGTACATCAATAGCCTCTGCAGGAGCAGAGAACGTCATTCTGGACGGGTACATCTCGGTACCGAAGGGAGTGGTACATGTAGGGACCGATGTACCCATATCCGACGGAGAGATACGTATCGGTACGTAACGTACTGGGTGTCATTGATCTCTATGAACAGTACCTCGGGGGAACAGGGACTTGTGATCCGACGGGTACGTGTCGTGATTATAATAATAAAAATTTACTGATGCCGTGGACACGTATCTTCATTTTAGAATATTTGAAAATATCCCATCAGTACACTTTTTTTTTTTTTTTTTGTAATCTATTATTATTCATTTCGATACAGATGAAGGTAAAAGTAAACAGGGCAGAACAGTGAAAGATAAGGAAACATGTTTGCAATATCCATATGCTTTTTTCTTGTCTTTCTAAATCAGCCACATCTCTTTGTGTTTGTGTTTGTGTTTGTGAGCATACCGATAGACAACATTAGTGGTGTTTTGGAAAAGAGAGGGTTAGAAATAAAAGTAATTTTTAATTTATTTTTAACTAAAGTTAAAATGGATCGAGTGATTGCATTACATAAAGTAAACCCGTCAGTATCCGTCGTGCCGCTCGTGACATAAAAAGCCCACGTAAAATAAAAACCAACCTAAACTACGCAAAAAGAGCGTTAGGTGAAGGGGTCAAGTGGGTATGGGTACGGCCCACTGCCATTGTCTGTCTCCTATTCATCATGTCCACATCAAAAAAGTAAAAAAAAATAGAGCGAGAGAGAGAAAGAATAGAGTAAATTTTAAGTGTTGTGCACATTTAATAAAAAATTATCTCAAAAAAACAAACAAATTAAAAGATAAATAATATTTATTAAGAATGTATAATATTTTATTGGTACATCTTACCACATATCGCATCGCATGGGAGTGTTATACAAGTTAAAAAAAATTTGGGGAGAAAATGTTACAATGTGGGTCCGTGGGCTCCGGTGGATGGATTGATTCAACCAAGTATCCCCCACACCACGCACATTCAATTGAAAAGATGCGCACTTACTTATTCGGAACCGGATCGGATCCAGTTACGTTGAAATTCATCACTTGATGATTTATAAAAAAAAAAAAAAAAAAAAAACTTTCCTCACTTCATATTTTAATTAATTAATAATCACTCATTGTGGTTTTCGCTGATTTTTTAAATTTACTAAATTTTGAGAGGATCCAATATTTATTTATTTGTGACAATTAATTCATGAAATTCAATTAATAATCTAACATAAATGTAAATGTAATCATAATAATTTATGATCAGGTGATGCCATTATCGATTAAGCCAGAGGGTAGTTGGGTCACTTCACATCGGCAGGTGGCATGGTTGGTTGTATCGCCCCCCTCCTATCTTCAAGCGAGAGCGAGAGAGATAGAGCACAACACAACACAACACAACAGTGTGTAACTAGGTGAAAACAGAGTGCAGAGAGAGAACGAACGAACGAACGAACGACCGACCGAACAAAGAGAGCTAACAATGGATTCAGATTTTGGGATAGCGAGAGAATTGTCCGATCTCCAAAAGCTTCGATCTCAGTACCAACCAGAGCTCCCCCCTTGTCTTCAGGTCTCTCTACTATCTTTCCTTCTCGTTTCCCTTGGAATTGCGATTTGCTCTGTTTCATTCTGTTGCTCTCCCCCCTCCCTCCCAACCCCTGTATACTGTTAATCCGCTGTTCTGTATAGTGGCATTGACGTTATTTTGTTCGTTTAAGCCGCTTCAGCCCCAATCTTCGCCTTTCGCTCATCTATGTATTTGTTTTCGTCAAGCAGCCTTCGAGATTGATTTATTAAAAGACTTTGTTCTTCACTGCTTTCCTAGTTGATTGAGTGTTGCATTAATCCATCCATAAGCTAGCATGCAGAAATTAGATCTGACGTGTTACATCACTTGTTTTATGCCGTACTGTCTTGGGTTTGCTTATTATTTATTTGGACTTTGTTCTGCGGACCAGATCAGATCAAGTTCACAACAAAGCGATATAGCATGTCTATATATCCTTGTATTTGCCGTGCGGATGTTCTGACTGGATATAGTGTAAGGAATTATGCATAAGAAACATCCGTTAGCTACATTCTGCTTTACCACCTAAATTTAAACCCCACTTATAAGACTTGGCTTACCACTTGTCTTGTGAGTTCTTAGTACCTTTCTGCCAATGATTTTGATGACGTCACGCTGAAATACCAAAGTAAAACAGAGTGAAGTTTTGGATCAAATGACTTCCATGATTCAATGGGGTGAAATCATCAATGCTGCTTGTTATGTACTTTACTGTCTCTGACGTGTAATTGTCACAGAAGAAATAAAACTTTAGCACATTATGGCGCTCTCTCAATTCTAAATCATAGACGTGTATGTATTTTATGAGAATCAAGAAGAATTGCTGGCGAATTAAGATAAAGCAAAAATTAAAATGATGATTTGGTGTTTGCAAGAATCACAGATACATGATTTGAGATGCTATATTCATACTCAAATGTCTGGATTTTACACTCTTGTTGATCTATGAGAACAAACTGAAATAACGCCTTTTGTGGTTTTGGGGTAAATTATCAGACAGATGATATACATATTCTATATTGTTTCTCATTTTTCTTTGTACGTTAGTCGATACCATTTTGAACATGTTATCATTGTTGCTGAGATGGTCATGCATGGTTTATTTATCCTCATACATTTGTTGTTCATAGCATTTGTTCCATGCTTCATTTTTTAAAGAGAATAGCATAATGATTGTCTTCTTGGTTAATAATTCCCATCTAAGTAGGGTTATTTAATTCTTTATTCTTTACCTCCATGTCACTGCTTATTAACCTAGCTTGTGCTTGTGTGTTGTAATTTTGCAGGGGACTACTGTCCGTGTGGAATTTGGTGATGGAACCACTGCTGCTGACTCCTCTGGTGCCCACACCATATGCCGGTCTTTTCCACACACTTACGGTCAGCCTTTAGCTCACTTTATTAGGGCAACTGCCAAAGTCCCTGACGCCCAGATAATTACTGACCATCCAGCAATTAGGTATGTACTGGATAATGACTTTGCTTCATTTAACTTACTCAGAAAACGAGCACTGCAGTGTCAAAATTGAAACCAAAACTGTTCTCTCTCATTAAGTTTATATTATATTGTCAATTTAGCTGGTTTGCCCTCAGTTTTTATTGCACTGACATTCTTTACTCTCCTTTTGGCATTATGATCCACTTTAAGGGCCAGACATATTGAGAAATTCTTGCATTACAGTTGCAGTGATCTCTATACCTTGCAATATCGCTAACTCTATGCTCGTTGTACTTGTGTAACTCATCTTGGGGACGGATTTCTTCATAGTCACAATTTTTTTTATACATTCAAGTATGCTGATTTTTTAATATCTTCTTTCTAGGGTTGGTGTGGTTTTTTGTGGTAGACAATCTCCTGGAGGACATAATGTCATATGGGGCCTTCACAATGCTCTCAAGATTCACAACCCTAACAGTTCTTTGCTTGGATTTCTGGGTTAGTGGCATTTTTGTTTTCCTCTTCTGGCTTGAAGTTTTTCGTTTACCATGGACCTCTAACATATCCATGTGCACACACCCATATCTTGAAAAAGAAGTCATTTTTGAACATTCTTATTTGGTTTTGTTTCCTTATCACCTAGCCAATGATTAGGATGCTGTCTTTTTACATATCAGTATATCACGCTTTCTTCTTGTATTTTGCGTCACAGGCACATTATGCCCAACCTTAGTTTGTATCTTTTTTGATGATATCTAAAAGAATTCTTTTATGCCTGCTACCAGGTGGTTCTGAAGGCTTATTTGCACAAAAGACCCTTGAGATCACTGATGACATTCTTGCAACCTACAAAAATCAAGGTAGTTACGACTTACTAGGACTTAATTTTCAGATCGCGATTTTTATTTTCAGGAAAGTTTATTTTATGCTATAGTCCTGTCAAGGTGGTTATGATTTGCTGGGAAGAACAAAAGATCAAATACGAACAACTGAGCAAGTCAATGCTGCGCTCAACGCATGCAGAGATTTGAAGTTGGATGGCCTTGTCATTGTTGGAGGTATCTCTGATCCTTTGCTTTAGGGTCACCATAGAAATGCAACATATAGTATTAATTTTTTCTTAACGTAAATATTTTGTACCTTTTAAAGGGGTGACATCAAACACAGACGCTGCTCAGCTTGCTGAAACTTTTGCAGAAGCAAAATGCCCAACTAAGGTACCTAGTTCATGTGACATTTTTCATCCTTTACTTACTGACACAGAAAAAAAACATTTTCATACTTCCTCTGTCCCAAAATTTAAGTCCCTTGTTGGAACTCCAAACTTGTTAAGGAGACAAGGGTTGATGCATCTCATTTATTAAGTTTTCAAAACTGCCTTCAGAAGTTAATGTTTCAGAAAGTTTAGAAATTTACATGGTCTAGATTTTCGAAGATTTATATATAAATTTGAAGTTTCTCACTAGTAGTTTATTTTGGTCCTCTGTTCTTTTGGTTTTGGACATAAAGCCACCATGACACCTCTGTAATGTTAGGCCAGTGTAGTTTCTTTCTGAACTAAGAACAGGAGAACCTGATTGGTTGAAATTTTGCAGGTGGTTGGGATTCCTGTTACTTTGAATGGAGATCTCAAAAACCAATTTGTTGAAACAAATGTTGGTTTTGATACTATATGTAAGGTACTAGTCCAGTGTTCTCAACAGCTTATTGAATGCCTTGCATGTATTTTTTTTAGTTAAGAATCGAATTTTGTAGTGAAGCAAGTACTGTGTTTTGAAGTTTTTATCCTCCAACCCCATTTTGATTATTCAACATTAAAATGGGCTTATACCCTGCTTCACATTGTTGTGCATTCTTCAACTTGTCTCGGCCTCTTCTTCGTATTACTGACGAGGTGATGCTGGCGAAAAATCCATGCATTGGAACTGTGTTTGTTCTTGGTTTGGGGTTCATTATAAGACGAAATTATAGTTGTGTCCTCATCATATTCTTTCTTGTTTTAGAAAAAAATAATTTAGTGGATTATGTGCTGCTGCTTTAATAAAGGATGGTATTATCATATAAAACACAACTAAAAAATTCCAAAATTCTAAGATCTTATTCTGAGATTATATGCATTTGAAAGATTTTGGGAAGAATCTGATAACATTATTTTATTGGCTCTTATTAGGTTAATTCCCAGCTCATCAGCAATGTCTGCACAGATGCTCTTTCAGCTGAGAAGGTAATTTCTCCATTTTTTGTAAATTTATATCCTCCTGGGTAAGCCATGTCGTTTGCATTTTACTTTAGGTTCTTTGAATTTCTTTTAGCCAAAGATGGAGTGACAAGGTGGCCTCAATCACCCTGCATATTTAATCAATTCTTTTATGCATTTGAGCGGCCCAGCTGCCTTTGTTTTGCTTACCTTTCCCATGTTTTTTTTTTTCTCTGTATGTCTTTACCTGTCTTTTACAAATTCTTAGTAACTTACTTTTGTTTACTTTTGTCTTCAGTATTATTATTTTGTCCGACTCATGGGACGAAAGGCATCACATGTTGCTTTAGAATGCACTCTCCAGTCACATCCAAACATGGTTTGCAGTCCTTGCTTATGTAACTCTGATTGATGTTGCCGCAGAGGATGCTGCCTTTTAGATAAGCTTGATCCTCTTCTCAAATAACCTCTCATTTGTTCTTTATAGGTCATTCTTGGTGAGGAGGTGGCTGCATCAAAGCTTACTCTTTTTGACCTGACAAAACAGATTTGTGATGCAGTACAAGCCCGGGCGGAACAAGGTATGGAATCTGTGCCTTACTATCTTTGTTGTCTTTATGGTGATTACTGATTATAAGTGCTGTTGTCACCTGACCAAATGTTTTTGGACAGACAAGTACCACGGAGTCATCCTGCTACCCGAGGGGCTTATAGAAAGCATTCCTGAAGTCTATGCTCTCTTGCAGGTAAGACCATTCATTTAGAAAATAACTGCATTCCTAATTGGCTGTTGACAAAACACCCCCTTCGCCCTAAAAAAAAGAGAATAGAAAAAAGAAAAAACCTCCCTTTTGCAGCAAAAATGGGAGCTCCATATTTTTAATTTCATAAATGTATGATTGTTTAATCTGGTCTAATGTGTTGGAATAATGACTTGTATTTTCCAGGAAATTCATGGTCTACTGAGGCAAGGTGTTTCTGTTGATGCCATTTCTACGCAATTGTCACCTTGGGCATACGCTTTGTTTGAATTTTTGCCTCCCTTAATTAGAAAACAGGTTTATTTCTTCACGTTGATTTAAGTTTTTCATTTAGCTTTCATGGGCAATGGTGCTCCTCTAAAATACATTCAATGTTACAGCTGCTTCTCCATCCAGAATCAGATGACTCTGCTCAGCTATCCCAGGTACTGAAATCTGCAACCCTAATGGTGTGTTAAAACAAAATATGAATTTGCTGTATATAATCATTATTACTCTTTTTTTGTTTTGCAGATTGAGACGGAGAAACTCCTCGCACATCTCGTGGAAGCAGAAATGAACAAGAGATTGGTAGGGTTTTTACCATCTTGTTTTTATTAATTTTAGCCAAACTAGTTTTTATTTTTAATTTTTTTATAGCTAATTGAAAAATACAAAGGAAATTAATCATTCTTGGTTCCATCTAATCTACTATTTTTTCTGTTAAGTGGGTTTAGGACTTGTTTATTTCAGCCAGTATGCTGTATTATGTACATATTAGAATAGAACGACTTTAACCTCACTCTTATGTTCATGGTGATTCAACAGAAAGAAGGAACATACAAGGGTAAAAAATTTAATGCTATCTGCCACTTCTTTGGCTATCAAGCTCGGGGATCTTTACCTTCAAAGTTTGATTGTGACTACGCATATGTAAGTTTATGCTTCAATTCATTCTCTGGACTGCTTCTACTTCTTACCTCTTGTTCATGTTAAGTAGGTTTCCTTGTAATAAACTTATAAAACAATATTCCTGCAGGTTCTTGGGCACATTTGCTACCATATTCTGGCAGCTGGGCTGAATGGTTATATGGCTACTGTAACTAACCTGAAAAATCCTTTGAACAAGTGGCGTTGTGGTGCTGCTCCAATAACTGTGGGTGCCAAACCTTAAGCTTCAAATACTTCTGTAGAGATCTGGTTTTGCTGTTGTCTTCTTTACTCCCCTTCCCTCACCCATCCCCTTCTGTTTTGTTTTTCTTTTTCTTTTTGAATGCCAGCTCACTGTCTCTCCTTTTCTCTCTGTCGGTAGAGCTTATGCTGGCAAGAAGTTTGACTCCTTTGATTGTATTGTTAAACCTCAGGCAATGATGACTGTGAAGCGTTACGGCCGTGGTCCTGGGGCCTTACCAATTGGGAAACCTGCCGTGCATCCTGCTACCGTCGATTTGAAAGGCAAAGCATATGAGTAAGTCCCTCCATTGTTATTTCTTGTATACTTGTTTGACATAAGTTTCTTTGTAATACTTACCAGAGGCTTGTTTGACATCACAGCAAGAATTCAAAATTTTTAGTGGCTTTTTTTTTTTCACTAATAGATTTTTTGATCCTCTGAGAAGGGAGTTCATTTACTTTTGGCAACATGTGGACTTGCTTCAAAATTTTGCTTTCTCTGATAATTTAAAGTTGAAGAAAGCATTGCAGATATATGATTCTGTCCTGCTGCTGAATTGTTTCTTGCTCTTGGTACAGGTTACTGAGACAAAATGTATCCAAATTTTTGATGGACGATGTTTACAGAAACCCAGGGCCCCTTCAGTTTGATGGTATAGGTGCTGATGCTAAGGCTGTAACTCTGTGTGTTGAAGACCAGGATTACATGGGCCGTATCAAGGCATTGCAAGAGTATCTCGACAAGGTGCTGAAATTAGCCATATTAAATGATGTTTTTCTCCTTTTAAACAAATTTTATGAGTTATTGTGATTCTGCGTTGCAAGTACTACTGCATTTTGCGTCTTCCATTGAGAGTGATATCTCCATTTTTCATTGTTAAATGTGGTATATTCTCCATTTTTGTTTAAGAAATAGGATATGATGGGCTCAAGCCAATTGAAGTGGACTGAGTTATACCAACAATTTGAAGGAGAAATACCTAGTGTTGCTCTAAGCAATAGTAATTCAGTTTTAACAAATGTTCAAGTTCATTCTCCAGACAAGAACTGGGCAGATATTTCCTGGCATTATTTATGTCATGCATTTCAGTATTGTATGGCAGACATTATCCTTTGTCATCATTCTTTGGGGGGAGGTCCTGTTAGCCTGAGTTGCATCAGTAGATTTTATGGTAAATATGTTAGCCAACTTGAGAACTTTATCGTTCCATGACGAAGTCATACCTTTTTCCAAGGTTGTTGACTGTAGTGTGCTAGTTGTATAAGCCTAACATGATTAGTTTACTCTTGTTATTCATTGTTTTTCATTGTTGTTTCCTATTTTTTGCTCTTTATCTATCTTTGCCTTATGTTAATTTCATATTCTCTACTTTTGTTTATTCATTTTCCAGGTGCGGATGATTGTGAAACCAGGATGCTCACAGGATGTTCTGAAAGCAGCTTTGAGCGCCATGACTGCTGTGACTGATATTCTCTCGACCATGACCTCACCTTCAAACGGTGGGAACACACCTTATTAGAAGTAGAAATAAACTGCTCATCTTAAGTGGAAATTTTCTGTTGCCACTGCCTGAAGTATTGGAATTCCGAATGTCTTCTGTTCCTTTTTGTATTTCCGTAACTTATGTCCAGATCTTTTTAGGTGCAGACCATATCTGTGAACATTGAGCTTAGTTTTTTTTTCCCATGCAAAATAAATGTGAAAGTACGGTTTTGAGGTTTACGAGAACACGAGATTTGATCGGATTGTTTTCCTAGTGCATTGGTTTCTGTTGGGGCTAACAATTTGTAGGTTTGAATGTATTCAATCCACCTGTACTAGCACTCTCGGTTGAAAAATAACATTATGATTGTTGTGGAATTAGACTTTGGTAGCATTAGAAGTATAGGACCTAAATTGATATTTGGTTGTGTGTATCCGACTTGATTAACACTTGCCTTTTCACGGCGTTGCTTTGTACACATCGATGTACGTGCAGTGTAGACAGCCTTGTTGAGGATTTATTTTTGTTTGTTTCAGCTTTGTGTAATTGTCACGTGTTTAACAACGTACTCATTCAAACACTGCTCGTTTAGGAAACTACGCCATCATTTTTGGTCTCTATTGTCGATTTAACATCCTCTAATGGACCGGCCACTTTGCTAATTTTATTCTCATATCTTAATATTTTAATAAACAACAAATTACACCCAACCTCTGAGAGAGAGAGAGAGAGAGAGAGAGAGTTGACTCTGTAGAGCCTGCTCATGGGCTCAATGAGTTAACTCCCAATGCAGAGAGTACTGTGTGCGTGTGGCTTCAATTTTTTTTTCCTTTTTTTGTCTGTTGAATTGTGTTATCTTTCAAAATGGATATAAGAAAGTTGTTAGATGGTACATACAAGTCGCAATAGCAGTCTTTGACTGTTACAGTTGAGTGAGGGGAAGGGAAGGGAAGGGAAGGGAAGGGAGGGAAGGTAAAGCTGCTGTGAGCTTTCACATCTCAATGGTGTGGTAGTACAATTTCAGAAATACGAGGGGTCTTTCTAAAATTGTAATAAATCCAAAGGGAGTTTATTGTAATTTAACCACTTGGAACGCCACAGTCAACAACTACCAGTCCATTCCCACCCTCTTCCCTGCTATTGGTTATACATCTAGATTGTCGGGCATATACCTCCTTCACTCCTTTTGTTTTGTCATTTAGTCGATCGCTATATTTGTCCAGTAAACCTGTGGCTTTGCTCCTCCAATTGATAAATTTGGTTTTCAGCATAATCTGACCGGCGGATCAAAAAGTAGCTATTTTCTCAGCAGGTAAACCCACCTCGCTCTTTCAACATATTAATAAAAAAAATATACACCCTCTCTCTCTCTCTCTCTCTCTCTCTCTCCAATGTGTATTGCTGTAAAGGAGGCACCCTAATTATTGCACCAGTTTCTGTTTCCTTTTTGTTTTGCTTGCTTCACCCGATACACCGATGACTGAATTTTTCTCTTTAAACTGCTTTTTTTTTCTGCTTCTTTTTTTTTAAAAAAAAAATTGGAAAATCCTCTGAACTTTGAGGGTTGCACTGGGTATGGTGGTAGGACCATTAGTTTTGCAGCATGATCTGATTTATCACCTGCTGCATATTCATGGAAAATTGAATGGAGTTTAGTTTAAGAATAAAATTAAATGGCGGGTGGTGCGCATGCCGGGGAGGTGGTAATTTTGGTCTGGGAGTGTCTGTCTAGCTTCAAAAATATGGTTAGCCTTCGATTCGACTATATGTGCGCATGTTCATAATATATCTATATAATATGGCTGCATTGGAAGTGCATAAAATTCCAGAGTAATCAAATGTGGTATGCTGGTTTTAAATGGGCCCTCTTTGTGTGATTTTGGAGAAGATCTCCAATGGATTTGATTTGTTAGGCACCGGTGCCACACACCAAACTTGGAAACAAAAAGATAAACTTGTTCGAATGCCAGAATCAGGATGCTTTCTCCAATGGCTCATCCCCTTTCCGCAAACTGTTCTTTTATACATTTGTGTGTGTTGTTTTACTGGCCCAGATATATGTGTTCCTCATAATCATGTGCACTTAGTTGAATATTTATTTTCCTTTTAATTGGTAACAAAAACCCACCTGTTCAGGACATATTGCGTAGACAAGACTAAGTAGCAAATGGAGAAAGAAAAAGCTTGCAAAGCACATGTTGTGGTGCTTGCATATCATGGACAAGGCCACATAAATCCAATTGTACAATTTTCTAAACGTCTGGCCTCGAAAGGAATCAAGGTCACAGTAACTACCATACTCTCAACTACCAAGACCATGCAATCAACAGCTGGCTCAATTACATTTGAATCAATATATGATGATTGCAGCGAAGGTGGGACGGCAGGAGCTGGAGGATTTAAGGGCTTTCTTGACAGGTTTGAAGCTAGTGGTTCACGGAACTTAACTGAACTCATTAGGAAACAAGAAAACTCTGATTACCCAGTGAAGTGCCTCGTCTATGATGCTAACATACCATGGGCTTCAAATATATTCAAGCAGTTTGCAATACCTGGGGCAGCATTCTTTACGCAGTCATGTGCTGCTATTGCTAGTTACTATCCCATGTACTGTGAGATATCGGGGGAGCCTCTGCCGGCGCTTGATTTTCCACTGTCTGGATTGCCAGCACCTGTAATTCCGAATATGCCATCAATGGGTCCTACTACAGGACGCTTCCCCCCAATGTTCCTGAACATACTGAGTCAGTTCACTAACATTGAGAAAGCAGATTGGGTCCTTTTCAACTCCTTTGATAAGTTGGAAGAAGAGGTGAGTAAGATGCTTCATTGCTCTCTACTGCAATAAAAGACTATTTATGAGGAGATCAATCCTGCTTCCCTTTTGCTGTCATTCCATTGCTTCCCTGCTGGCTAAGATGAGCTTACAGCTTCTGTTGTTGATTGACTGATTTATGAGGCTAACAATTTTCAAATTGATGTCCGTTGAAAATAGAACCCTGATGAATTTGATATTAAAAGGAATAAAAATTAAATTCTACTTAGTTTACTTGACAATGTCCAAGCATCCAACTCAATTATGGTTGTGTGTGTGACTGTGAATGTTGTAGCTGTCTATAGAGCTGTCAGTTTTATGAGTATATGCTCTAATATGCAATAGGGTCATGAATCTGATAATTTGGCAACATATCGAAAAAAATCTGTGCGGGCTGATTAGAATTTAACCTAACTCATTCGCTTCACAACCATAGGGCTTACAGTTCACCTTTTCTGATTCCACGTTCAATTTTGTTTAGTTAGGTTCAAATTTTACTTCAAAGACTGAAGATATGTCATGCAAAGTTATTGTGCTATATGTAGGTGGTGAAATGGATGTCAAATCTCTGGCCTATCAGGACAATTGGACCAACTGTGCCGTCTATTTACCTGGACAAGCGAGTGGAAAATGACAACGGTTACGGTTTCAATATGTATAAGCCAAATACTGACGCCTGCATGAAGTGGCTTAACACTAAGGAGATTGGGTCAGTTGTGTATGTTTGTTTTGGGAGTGCTGCAAGTTTGCATGTGGAGCAGATGGCAGAGATGGCAGAGGCTCTGAGGCAAACCAGCAGCAGCTTCTTGTGGGCAGTGAAGCCAAGCGAACAAAGCAAGCTTCCCACTAATTTTGTTGAGGAGACATCAGAGAAGGGATTGGTAGTGACATGGTGCCCTCAATTGGAGGTGTTAGCCCATCAAGCTGTAGGATGCTTCATATCACACTGTGGGTGGAATTCAACTGCAGAGGCAATAAGCTTTGGGGTACCTATGGTGGCAATGCCGCAGTTTTTAGACCAGATGACTAACGCGCATTTTGTGGAGCAAGTTTGGGGAGTGGGAGTTAAACCCAAGGCAGATGAAAAAGGTCTTACAAATAGTGTAGAAATTGGTGAGTGCATCAATTTAATTATGAATGGGGAGAGAGGACAAGAGATTAAAAAGAAAGCTATTCATTGGAAGGAGTTGGCTAAGCAAGCAATAGACGAGGGAGGAAGTTCAGACAAGTATATTGATGAAATCGTTGCTCGGCTTGTGGCCAACTGATTTTTGGCTCTGCTTGCTAAAAAAAAGTTATTTTTCTTATTAATAGAAAGTCCTATGTGTGTGTGTGTGTGTTTTTTTTTTTTTTGAGACATGTCTTCTCTTTTATGGTGGAATTGGCTGTCTGCTAAGCTTTGCTGAGTGATGGTGTTTGTGTCTTGAAGGGGGGAAGATAATGTTTGAGTTATCATGGTCGAAAAACAAGATTATGATCTGTTGTTTGAGAAATGCCTCATATATGGCAGTGAGAAATTCATATATGTATGTTAAGTAGAGCCGTTGTTTATATTTTGCGAACCATATACTTGGACTTGTATTCATTGGCATAAAGAATTGAATTATAGCATTGCGAAGCCATATATACATGTACATGTAGAGCACCATCTGTTCTGAGAGTGATGATGATGTAAAAAGTGGCCCAAATCAAATGGCAAGCCTCTTAAAATTTCGTAGCTAAAACTTGAAGACCATCGCACTTGTAGCAGCCTCCTCATAGTGCAACCCAATTCAATATGTTTATATTTGTTTTCCTGGTTTCGGATTTGCCAGAAGGAATTAATTGTTTTTCAATTCAATTCGCGAAAAACAAACCTGTTACTACTGTACTCACTGCTAAATTGTTTCCGTCTGTCAAACCCAAGTCTCCTGTTCCTGTAATCAATCGCACATTCAAACGACAATATCGACACTAATTCTCTATGATCTGGTTGAGGATGACGAAGGTGTCCCTCCCACCACTCTCCGCGAGGTCTCATTGCTGTTCAATTCTCCTTCAAATCCTTGTCAGTCTGCAACTTCTTTTCTCTGATTTTCCATTATGATCTGCTTGAGATTTTTCTCAAAATTTGGTTGTTAGTTTCTGAATTACCCTGGCCAGATTTGTATTTTCTTTAGCAAAATTTTAAACAATCAGTTCTCATGTACACGATTTTTAGTTCTTCGGTTTAATTTGAAACAATCTGTTCTTATGTCTTGCATTGTGAGAAATTGGAACCACTTGAACTTATTGAGGCTGCATTTTCGTGGTTTTTATTGCATTTGCCACTTCTTGAATCCACTCATCTTCATTCTTCAGGCCGTAGCAATCAATGTTCTTCTATCTTGTGTAGTTCTTTAAACCTTGTCTTTGACCTGTCATATATCTATTTTCCCTATAAACCAATATATGGATTGCTGGCTGTGAAACTAAGCCAAAATAAGGAAGGCAAGACAGTTCTCTATTTGGTGTTTGAGTACATGGACACTGAACTCAAGAAATTCATCAGCAGCTTCTGTCAAACTGGAGAAACATTCCTGCCAAAACCATCAGGGTACAGATGCTGGGTGGTTTAACTGTTCTAACATCCTTCTCATGGGGCTTATCAATTGGTAATTGGTTCAAAAAAATTGCAATCTTCTTAAACAGTTGTTCCCTTCTGTGGTGATTATAAATATATTTCTCACTCTTGAATGCAGAGTTTGATGTACCAGCTTTGTAAAAGTGTTGCTTTCTGTGACGCCCCTAAAATCAGAGGTAATTTATTGTTGACCATTCGTCAACCCGCGGAAAGATCCTTGATTCGACATCACGTTAATATTATTTCATTATTCGGAATTTTAACTCACACGTATAACCCGTATTCCTTTAATCATTTAATCCAACCAATGTCCAATATACCTCATGTAATGTCCATTTGTATCATTGGAATCAAGGAAAACAAAGTCCAAAAACATGGTACTTTAGTTTTAAAATTTCAAATTTTTGGAGACAATACAAGTACTGTGTACCGGTACTCTTTGTCTTCTGGACAGACAGTACCGGTACTCTCTATTCTTTGGACTCAACTGTGTACCAGTACTCTTTGTCCAATTTTGCTTGTTTCACCCTTTTTTTTATTTTCAATGCATTTCAAACCATCTCATTTTCATCCAAAACATGCATAATTGAGTTTTCCACATAAAACCTCATTCATACAAGTCCATTTCAACAATTTACATGTATTTATGTGTCAAAACGTAGTTTTAACAAAGATTTTTACAAAGACTCGTTTTCAAAAGTCATAACCCGTCTTTTCTTCATCGTTGAGGCCCTGAATACGAGTTCTCCACCGGTAAGAACCCCGCACCTAAAATATGTTCCCGTATAGGGTGAGCCAATGCCCAGTAGAATATTTTCTATAGAGGCTACTCCACTCCTAGATGCATATGAAATGTGCACATGCAACCAAAGAAAAACCAATATCCATTCCAACAAGAACATGTAATTCAATGTTAAAAAATCATAATGTCATGCCATGAGATGAGATGAGATGAGATGAGACTCACTCATGAACTTTGTCCCGAGTCCTCACCAACTCCCACAACACAATGCAATGCATGTGTATAAAATATTTGTCCTTGATGAAATACATTCAAAGATCATTTTGAAATACAATCATACATTCATAAAACCCATTCATTGTTGGATATTTTTCATCAAATGAATCATTTATATAAACCAAAACTATGTGTCTTTGCTAGGTATCAGATTTTGGAATCACACCGCTGGCTCTGTACGCCATTACACTTTTTTAGAATTTCACCTTAGGGGAGTGTATGAACCAAGTAGCTGGGTCTTTCACCCGAGGGAGTGTCTAGCCCTTCTTTCTATACCCGACACAAGTTTTCCATGCATGCAACCGTGCGACTCAGTGGAATCTTCAATCCCATTTTCCCGAGCCCAACTTCAACCACCATATATAATGTTTGAATCAACCATGCTCATACACACCCACACTCATGCCTAAAACCATGAATGTGATGTCATATCATGCCTAAAATGCAATGAATGCCAAATGAGTCATTTAACCACATATTTTCACTTATGTTATGGTAATTAATATCAATTGCATATAATTACTATAAATCAACATGATGTTAATATATTAACACATGTAGCAACTTATTCATCCTCAACAAAGTTAACATAGCACTTAGCAAAACACCAAGAAGGCAACAATAGAATGCATAGTATGCCCAAAAATGTTAAGTTCTAAGGAATTACATAAGTACTTCCTCAATATCGAACTTTGCTAGGAATTGGTCTAGGCCAATTCCATACCCATTTCCTCTTTTATTTAACCATAATCAAGTGACTTAGGTTATCCCATACCCTTACCCATTTCATAAAACATTCTAGATAAAGAAAATAAACCAAGATAGGAGAAACCCTACTTCTTGGAACGTAAATAGAAGGTAGAAACTTCAAGAACTCCAAAACCACCCCAAAAACTTGATTTTTCTAAAATTCCTTCTTTGGATCTTCGGTGAAATTTCTCATTTTTGGTACGTACGCTGCCCTCGTCGTATAAACCAACTTTAATTATTGGTTCGATGAATTTAGACCGACGGAACTCTTGGATCGTAAGAAGAAAGATAAAATTTTAGGCTTTCTCTCTTTTCTCCCTTTTCTCTCTTCAACGTTTGATTCAACCGGCCAAGTGGGTGAGAATACCTGATTTTTTCAGATATTTAGCCCCTATTTATACTTTTTAATTGTGCGGTCCACATTGTCCCGCACATTTATTACTTCTGGGTTTGTTTTTAACCCGAAACGATTTAATTAATTTTCGATTTCAGTTTAAATTAATTTAATTGGAACTTTTACCTAATTTTAAGGAAATTTTATAAGTTTTGTTTTTGGGAACGTTTATAAAGTCATTCGTCGCCCGTTTGTCTCATAAAATGTGCAAAATTCGACTATCTTCGAATTCGACGAAAATTGACATGGTAGCTCGGTTTCGCGATACGAATTTAATGGTGAAGTCCGTTGCATCATCCCGAGCTTTAGAAAAATATTGATTTTAAACCCGCATTATAGTGACAAATTACTATTTTACCCTTTTTCAAAAAAAAAATCAAAATTTTCCGAATTTTACACTTTCTGCCATGGTCATAGAGTCTTGCACAGGTATACTTAAGCTACTTTTTAGCTAGGATTTGCTCTCATCCATGGATGGCACCATGTTAAGGTCTTTGAACTAGCAACTAATCGTTTTGCTCACATAGTTTTAACTCAGGGACCTGAAGCCTCAGAATCTCTTGATGGACCCAAAAACAGTGTTACTTAAAATAGCAGATCTTGGATTGGCACGAGCATTTACTCTACCAGTGAAGAAGTACACTCATGAGGTAAAGTGTCATGCAAATACAGTTGCAGATATGAAGTTGTCATTAACCATGGCAAAGGACAGTTTTGTGGATTTGTCATTAACCACAAACGTTATACTAACATTGTTGTATGGTACAGAGCTCCTGAGGTCCTTCTTGGGGCTACCCATTACTCTACAGGAGTGGACATGTGGTTGTTGGCTGTATATTTGGTAAAATCTCCCTTCATTATAATTTGAATGATTTAGTATTTTTGTTTAGCTGAACTAGTCACTAAGCAAGCGTTTTTCCCTAGAGATTCTGAGCTGCAACAGCTGCTAAAAATTTTCAGGTTTTGTAATCTACAATCTGCTTCCAACTGATCCCCTATTTATTTTGGTTTCTTTTGTCCCTGAGCTGTATTGTTGCAGATTGTTGGGCACTCTGAATGAAAAAGTCTGGCCAGGAGTAAGCAAGCTAATGAACTGGCATGAACACCCCAAATGGAGGCCTCAGCCAGTGTCATCAGCGGTGCCTAATTTGGATGAGGATGGCCTAGACTTGTTATTTGTTAGGTTTGATTGGTTTTACAAGTGAGACCATTAATCCCCAGATGCATTAGTTTTTTCTTCACTTTAAAAATCTTGTACAATTTTGAAATTTGCTATGCAGAAAATGTTGGGAGTATGAACCATCAAAACGGATTTCAGCAAAAGACTGCTATGGAAAATCCTTAACAAGCTCAACAAGGTTCCGTTGTGAGCTTTTTTGCTTCTCTCGAGCATGTACAAATCATGTGGGAAACATATATCTGGATTGCTCTTATCTTGTGTCCTAATGCAATTTTGCTTGTCGAAAGATAGCCAAATAGGTTGCACTACATATTGTTCATCTATACTGACAATTTATCACTTACGCACTTCGATCTTTTTTTTTTTTTTTTTTTTTTAAATCAAGACCACTATAAAAAATATTTACCTTCAAATCTTATCATTTAATAGTCTAAAAAAAAACTTGTTAATTCGGTAATAAGAAGAAGATATAAATAACAGATATTAAAATTTTTACGTTTTTTGTATCTTCAATTAACACACGGTCTTTTTATTTTATTTTTTGGGCTTAAAGGGTGAATGATGATACTATGTGTAGATCTTGAAAGACCTTAAAGTAAAATCATTAATTGAAATTATAAAAAGAAAGACGATCACAATCCACGAGATTGTATACATTATTTTTCACTATTCAATTCAATGCACGATTTATGATAATTAATTTATTTATTAAAAACAAACGTTTCATTTTTTTTTCTGCTCGCTCCACTGAAGTCTTTTCTGCCATCAAACTTTTGTGTTGCGCCAAATGACAACACAGCCATGTATTTTGACCATCCGATACAACGTACTGGATAAGTCAAAGGGTTAGTTCGGACATTTAGCTCTCATCCAAGACTAGGAGGTGTTTTTAATTGATCATCGATTGAGCCAAACCCGTTGTTTTTGAACTACGAAACCGCAGAAGCAGAGCCTACAACCCCCCCTGCCCCTGGTCCCGTGGCTGGGTTTCTTTCTGGTGATGCGTGTGCTTGGCGTGAATCGCCGGAGGATTAAGAACAGTACTATCGTGATTTGTAAACGCCGGAGGAGTAAACGTTCATTTCTATGCCCCTCCGCATCATATCTCACATTCATCACCCTTTCACTGCCTACTCTCCTCCCCTCCCCTCAACTCCAAGCAATTGAAGCAAACCCTAACGACCTCTACGCCATTGTAACCATCTCTTTTGAAGACTTTTCCTCGCGTCGCGTCAATTGAAGCTCTGTTCGCTACGTCCCAAGGCACTCTGAGACAGGTAAGATGTATGTGAAATAACCGCATGCATCTTAACACACATTTTTTTTTTTTTTGGTTTTTGGTTCGTGGTACTTCGGTTTACTTACAAAATTCAAGGACTCAAAGACTGCTCCCTAAAGAACCATTCGTATTTTTTGTTGGGTCTTGTTTGTGATTTGAAAATTCGAGCATGTATTTCTGTGTTTTTTATTTTTTTGGGTACGACGGTCGTTAACGAAACTAGTTTTTGCTCTCTATGAAAAAGGTTGTTGACAAGCTTAGAAATCAAACAAAAGATTGTGATTTTATGCCGACCAATAGTGCATGTCGTTTGCATGATATTTTATACTTTTAGATGTGTTTTATATATTTATTTATCTACTGTTATTCATACGAAGAACGTATGGGGAAGCATGGTATAAACTATAAAATCTTCGGTTGTATATATCAGAATGGATAAGAGCGATGTAGATATGGATGATGTTGAGAAAGAACCACGAGATTCGGTGACTGATGGCCGAGATTCGGAGACCAATCTGGTTGATGCGAAAGTGGAACGCAAACAGGAAGAATTGTTGCCTGATCCACATGCCACGGAAGACCAAAACCCCTGTGAAGAAAGGACAGATGATCAAAACAATGTCAAAAAAGGAACGGAGGGCCAAAGCCCTCCCAAAAAGGGCGTGGAGGACCAATACTGTAGTGAAAATGCTGAAGAGGAGAAAAACACTAGTGAAAATGGGGTACTGCCGGTGGATGACGTGCCTGCGAGCGGGAAAGAAGAATTGGTTGATGATCTAAAAGTGTCTGATAATAAAACCACTGCTGTGGTTGTTGCTACTGATGGTGTTGAGGAAACTCCGGAAGAAGAAGTGCCTGAACATAATTTACCTAAAGAAGAGATCCCCAATAGTAAAAATGAAGGTGATGATACTCCTCTTGCCAGCCAGCATGAACTGTCTACACCCAATTTCCTTGTGAGGTGTTCAACTGCCAAAGCTGAAGCTCCTAGTGCAGACACATTCAAGAATGGGGTGAGTGAAACAAAGTTACTTGCAGTAAACTGCAAAAGAGGAAAATAAATGAAGGAATAAATGGTAGAAGTTTTATAGTCCTTGATTGAAAATCGGACATGGAAAGTCTAGTGCCACAGTATAATTAGTAGGTTTCTAAATTGTTAGTGTCTTTTTTGAACTACAGGTGTTTGAGGATGATGATGGGACACCAGAGGATCAAGCAGCCTTCATGAAGGAGTTGGAATGTTTCTACAGGGAGAGGTCCATGGAATTTAAACCCCCCAGGTTTTATGGGCATCCACTCAATTGTTTGAAGTAAGTTTCCTCTGCTTTTTATCGTGCTGATCGTTATGTCTGTTGTTATTAATTGTGTTATGGATGGTCTAACTATTGTCGTTCATAAGTTTCCTGTGCTTTTTATTGTGATTATTCTGTTGTTGTTAATGGTGTTCTGAATGGTCTAACTATTGTCATTCATGGTAGGCTTTGGAGAGCTGTAATTAGATTGGGTGGCTATGATCGGGTATGCAAATGTTATCCTCTAATCTACTTGATTGTCATGTTTTTTGTTATGTTTTAAGTTTGTTTCCATCGCTTTCTTGCTACCCTATATTGTATGTGGTAGGATTTGAATGGAAGCTTGAACATAATTAGATGTCAGCCTATAGCAGTGTGAGTTTTGCTTCAAGAAATAAGTGTATTTACTCCCCATATGTGGATTAGTTGGCAAATCTCTCAATTAAGACTAATAAAAGTTGAAGATACCTAGTAACTAACACACTCCATCATATCAATACTATTTTCTCCTCACATCTTTGTTAATTTTTATTTTTGCCGCACAGTCTTTCTTTTTTTCTTTATAAACTGGTAGAAGTAGTGCCACTCAACTTGTCTTATTCCTATCTTATTTTCCTTCTTTAGATATTTCCACCATCTATCCTCTCCTGTCTCCAAAAAATAAAGGAACAAAATTGAAAGGAAAAAAGAAGGTTTAAATGGAATGATTTCGGATGTGATTTTAAATGTGGATTACATGACACAAAATCAACCTTTTACCATGGTTCTAATTTACCTTACAATATGGATTGGAACAAACTTGTCTAGGAATTATGTATCTCCAAAGCGTATTATGGTCAAACTTATTTTGCCCCAAACTTATTTTGTCTTTTCAAAAAAGAAAGAATGAAAAATATTCTCTATAAGAACTTATACAGCCAACTGCAAAGTGGAAATTTGGGGGATTAAAAAGACAACAACATCAGATGTTAATCAAACAAGCTGATTTGGAGCTTCATATCCTATGTTGCTTGTTATGTTAGTTGGGATCAGTAGGTGACCTTGCTGAACTTGAGAGTACATGCCTTTGTGACTACCAAACGGTGATGTCAATGTGTAATTCAAATTCATATCGTCTTTTGAGACTATATCTAGCTTTTCAAACTGACATTTCTCCATGAAAGCTTTAATCATCAGGCAAATATTTTTGCTTTGTTTGTTCAATGGCGTCATCAATTGAGGAATTGTAATCATCTTGAAATCTAGTGTTAAAATACGAACAGTTTTTTTTTTTTCACACTTAAGCAACTCAACAAATCCTTGTTCCAATTTTCTAGGTGTTGCATGAATCGTATTCCATCTTTATGTTTTGTCTACAATTGTGGTTTTTAGCTAATGAATTTTGGTTCTTTATCCTTAGCATTACGTTATTACTCTTCCTCATTGATGCGGTTATAGGTTATCGTCGAACGTATTCTAACAACATTAGTCAATTTTGTATCATCTTATCTCTTATGGGTGCTACTTCTATCTTTTTGTGTATGTTACTTCTTAACACCTCCATTTTATTAATATACATGTTTGATTTCTGTTACAATGAATAATCCACTATGCAACTTTTAACTAATGTATGTATAACAGAGGAGAAACCACCCATAGAGGGATGAAGAGAACCCCTAAAGAGGGCACAATAGAACCCCTATAGAGGGGGAATAAAAAATCAATATTTTTGACTTTGGCAAGTATTGATCCCTTGATCTCTGGGTTTGCAGAGTGTTGAGAGAATCTAGGGTGGTCATAGTCAAGTAGCTTGTGCTATAGAAAATGAGAGTGTATTTTACAATTTTTGACATTCAATTTGGATTTGTGTATGAACGTCATTGACAATTCTATATAACAAGGTAATTTTTGAGCATTTCACAAACATTTGAATAATTTCATTTGGGGTATTATGTGCATCCATGAAAATATACATGAATATTTTCTTTTCCCTTAATTTTGAAATGGCATAGAATGCTCATTTGAATGGTTTTTCCTTGTTGATACCATGATTCCATGTTTGGAAGAAGAGGAAAGAAGTGTTTGCCATAGGAAGGGAGTCTTACTGCAGAATGAGTTTTGACCGATGATCCTAATTCATTTGGCTGGCAACTGAAAGAAAAATATTGCATCTGCTTCACATATGAGATAACCAGTCCCATATCTCTGCCAATCTAACGTGGTAGTTTCCATGTGTATGCTTTGGATTTTTTGTTGGCAAAGTTTTAAATCATTTAGAATTCTTGACAAATTTTGTAGAAAGTAACACCTCCCTGAAAAGAGAGAAAAAAAAAAAGGAAAAAGATTTCCATCAATTTCTCAATAATCTGAATAATCACTAGACATGACAAGGCCCAGTTATGCTTATACTTGATATTTGGATGTGAAGTTGGTCAGTTTCATATCATACATTTGATGATTGGGATATAGGACGATTTTAGAGTTCTCAATTAAAGCCGGGATTGTGAATTGTTTGCGACAATGATAATAGGAAGAACTTATAAATTGGGTTTTACAGGTGACTGGATCCAAGTTGTGGCGGCTAGTAGGAGAATCTTTTCATCCCCCAAAGTAAGTATTGTTAACTTTGGATTTCATGGTTGCTGCCTATCTGACAAAGCCCACTAACTGGGGTGTACATATTTCTCATATATGTTTTTATTCGTCAATGGCTAGAAGCAATTTGTGTGCATTAATGTATGAAATTAAACAAAAATTTCGTTGGTAACTGAATTTTCTTCTTAATCTTGTTCCATTTGCTTTAATGAACTTGCTCATTCTTTCTCTCAGGACCTGCACAACTGTTTCTTGGACATTCCGCATTTTCTATGAGAAGGTAATGGCCCAGACTACTCCTCCTGTTAACAATTCTAGCATTTTTTTTTCATGTGATAGGGTGACAAATAATTTGTATTATGTCTCCAATGCAGACTATTTACATTTGGATAAAGCTTAAATCATGACAATGCCAAGCATTTGCATTTGTTTACATGTGCATTTGTTGCCCGTTTGAGTTTTTCATATTTTATTCCCTTGTAAATCCTGTTCTTTGAAGGAATTGCTTCTCCTGACATTTACTTTTGTAAATGCTAATGTTCTTTATTCTTTGGCCTGTTCATGTGAAGAGGTTAATTGAAAATTTGAATGGCTAGGCAGGACTTTATTTTTATGGGGTTTCTCTTTCAAAATATCTATTTTCTTCCTTCTAAAAGCTAACTGCATAGTTAGATGATATTAAATAGACGTGAATTATATTTATGTGCCTGTCTATTCACAAGCGAAAGGTGGATGCTTTATATTACTCAATGGTTACTTGGAGACCTCTGAAAATGAAACAATCACAACTGCTTTATTACCCTAAAACTCGAAATGTCTTTTTTCTTGAGACACTCAGTGGGTGATCTACTTCTGTGCAATAGGCATTAGGCACAGTCTCCATGCACAGAAATAATTTTTGTCTGGATAACTTACGCTTTCAAGTTATAATATTTAAATCCATGTGTTAGTCAGATAATTCATAAATATAATGAACTTCATCAGATGGATTTTTTATTGTATCCTTTTGAATGATGAAGAATTGTGGCACCTAAATTATGTGAACTATTTGTCAAGCTGTTCAAGGCATCAGTGGTCAGATGACTGCCTTTTTGGCTGCGTTTGTAAATATGGTACCACTGTCCTGTGCTGATCCCTGCATGAACTATTGGAAGCACTTTGGAACACCATTATTGTGGTGATTTGAGAGTACATTACTTCATTAACGAGATCAGAATCCAGGTTCATGATGACCCTTTTTCATGGTGATGGACCAATTTTAGGCTGTGTCTATTCTTGGCATTCTGAAAAGTAAGCCATGTGTCATGAAAAGTGTAACATGACATCTACATATATTGATTGCGCCTACATTGTTGCTGTAGTTTGGGTTGTTTTACTATTTCCTCTGGTTTTGTATGGTATTAGGTCTGATCATACAGACCGCTTTCTTTTTCTTTTTCTTTTTCTTTTCTTTTTTTCTGTTTATCAGCTTGCATCAACTTCCTTAGTATCTTTTTTTTTTTTTGGCTCTTTTTGAAGGCACTTTTGGAATACGAGAGACATAAAAGTCAAAGTGGTGAGCTCCAACTCCCTATTGCAGCCTTACCCGAGTCTTCAGTTGTTGAAAATGAGGTAATATTATGTTTAGTTTTCTGAATTGTTTGGACTTGTAGATAAGCTTATACTATCTTTCTGAGTTCTTTGGATCTTATTTGTTGTATTGTTGTATGAAAGGTTGTCTGTCAGGTCTTGTATGAATTCCAAATTGTATATGCTTATGCAGGGTTGAGGATTTTAATAAGGGCTTTCAATTTTCTAGCTGGAAAAACTATGTGGTAGGTGATGATAACATGATAAGAGTTCCTTGGTACAAGTCATCAAAAGGATGAGCTGTTCAAATTTTGTCTTACTAATTTTGAGCTGGAGGAATAAAGAAGAGGAAATAATAAGGCCAAGTTCTACAGTTAGGGCAAATGATTGAGGGGAATCTATCTACAGTATTATTAATCATTTCCATATGTTTCATTTTTTCAAACATGAGGGAATCCATGCCTTCTGTCTTAAGTGGGCGGGCATTGTGCTGTTTATTCCTTCCCTCCCCCTGCCCCCTGCCCCCTTCCTCCATTTTTTTATTTATTTATTTATTTTTTTTTGATTTTTTTTTTTTTGGGGGGGGGTGTTTAGGGTAAGCTCATCTTTGGAAAGAGGCGTGTGAGACATAGGCGGTCTTTTGCTTCCGTAATTGATGTATCTGCACTTCTTTTATTTTCCCCTTCTCTTGGGACACAAAAAACAAGGAGGGGCAAAGGAAGAAACAGATTTCTACTATATGAAATTGTAAAGCTACATACAGATGTGCTTAATGGGTAAGCGCATTTAAGTTGCTTTTTTTATTCTTAGACTAACTAGCAGTTTCCTTCAGTGTCTAGGAATATTGTCTTCTCTAGATTTTCTAAAACATTGGCCTTCTCTGAATAGAAAACTTTTCCTCATTCTCTGTTTTTCAACTAGCTGTAGTTAATAGTAAACCCTACTAATCCCTTTTTGGTTTTTGTAACTTAGATGGAGATGAGGCAGCAAAAGTATGACCTCCTCTCTGTATTTGGCTGTTGAACCATTGAATATATGATAGTGATCTGGTTTCATCCATTTTGGTGAATCTGTTGCTTCAACCTGGTGGTTTGTATTTGGCCTTCAGGGCATATTTTAACTGTGGCTCTTATGTTGAAGGTATTTAAGAGATATGGCAATGCAATGACGCTATATTAAATGCAATCTTAATTATGTAAGTGAAAAAAGCGACGTTAATATGAAATGTTTAGATGAACTGTTAATACCATATTAGNTTTTTTTTTTTTGGCTCTTTTTGAAGGCACTTTTGGAATACGAGAGACATAAAAGTCAAAGTGGTGAGCTCCAACTCCCTATTGCAGCCTTACCCGAGTCTTCAGTTGTTGAAAATGAGGTAATATTATGTTTAGTTTTCTGAATTGTTTGGACTTGTAGATAAGCTTATACTATCTTTCTGAGTTCTTTGGATCTTATTTGTTGTATTGTTGTATGAAAGGTTGTCTGTCAGGTCTTGTATGAATTCCAAATTGTATATGCTTATGCAGGGTTGAGGATTTTAATAAGGGCTTTCAATTTTCTAGCTGGAAAAACTATGTGGTAGGTGATGATAACATGATAAGAGTTCCTTGGTACAAGTCATCAAAAGGATGAGCTGTTCAAATTTTGTCTTACTAATTTTGAGCTGGAGGAATAAAGAAGAGGAAATAATAAGGCCAAGTTCTACAGTTAGGGCAAATGATTGAGGGGAATCTATCTACAGTATTATTAATCATTTCCATATGTTTCATTTTTTCAAACATGAGGGAATCCATGCCTTCTGTCTTAAGTGGGCGGGCATTGTGCTGTTTATTCCTTCCCTCCCCCTGCCCCCTGCCCCCTTCCTCCATTTTTTTATTTATTTATTTATTTTTTTTTGATTTTTTTTTTTTTGGGGGGGGGTGTTTAGGGTAAGCTCATCTTTGGAAAGAGGCGTGTGAGACATAGGCGGTCTTTTGCTTCCGTAATTGATGTATCTGCACTTCTTTTATTTTCCCCTTCTCTTGGGACACAAAAAACAAGGAGGGGCAAAGGAAGAAACAGATTTCTACTATATGAAATTGTAAAGCTACATACAGATGTGCTTAATGGGTAAGCGCATTTAAGTTGCTTTTTTTATTCTTAGACTAACTAGCAGTTTCCTTCAGTGTCTAGGAATATTGTCTTCTCTAGATTTTCTAAAACATTGGCCTTCTCTGAATAGAAAACTTTTCCTCATTCTCTGTTTTTCAACTAGCTGTAGTTAATAGTAAACCCTACTAATCCCTTTTTGGTTTTTGTAACTTAGATGGAGATGAGGCAGCAAAAGTATGACCTCCTCTCTGTATTTGGCTGTTGAACCATTGAATATATGATAGTGATCTGGTTTCATCCATTTTGGTGAATCTGTTGCTTCAACCTGGTGGTTTGTATTTGGCCTTCAGGGCATATTTTAACTGTGGCTCTTATGTTGAAGGTATTTAAGAGATATGGCAATGCAATGACGCTATATTAAATGCAATCTTAATTATGTAAGTGAAAAAAGCGACGTTAATATGAAATGTTTAGATGAACTGTTAATACCATATTAGGGGTATGGATTGCTTTTCGAGAACCATAAAGTGGTAGAGGTTGTGTTACAGAACATTAATCCATGTTTTTAAGTCTTAAAAGTACTTGGCACCAGCTGATGGGCCCAGTGGTGAGGGATCCGTCTCACCTTGCTAGTGGTGTGGTTTAAGTACTGTCCAAAGCCGTTGTTTCCCTGTCCCTCAAGTTTGTATTATTGAGATGAAAGGGGGGAGAAAATTCTCAAAGTTTCTGCCATGTAAACCCAAACCTGTCACGGGTGGCTATCTGTGGGTTCTTGGTTGTCGTCTTCTCTTTTTCAAGGTCTTTGTTGGTTCTCCTAGCCAAGTCCATGGGTGCTCTCAGCTCTTCTTGCCAAAAGAGAATACCTGAAGGAAAAAAGAATGCCTTAATTCCATATTGGGACCTCAAACACAGCACCCTCTTCGAATGCGAGGAAGGAGATATCTCTTGAGCTATTAATTGGTGGTTGGTATAGTGTTTTGCTTCAGCTTCATCATATGAGATTATATGTTTCCAATTCTTTGGCTACGGCCTCTCTCTCTCTCTCTCTCTCTCTCTGTTAACTACTTTTTTGACAGTTTTCCCATTTTCACAGCCTAAATTTTTTGAAGTAGCATCTGGTGTTAGGGAAGTAATGAGCATATTACTACTGAGTAATACTGGAAGTCAATCTACTCTTATGTTTCTTGAACTTCTTGCTGATTGGTTATTGTTTTTTCTCACACTAACTTGGCAATGATTGGACTGCAAATGCTTTCTTTCCTACTGCTTGTTTTAGGAAGATAGTTATAAACTGGACCAATTTGGAGTTTTGATTAGATTCACTTGATAAACCTCTAGACAATCTTCACCTAGGACTGCTGGCTGGCAAGATATTCCCTTTCTTTCTGTGTGTAATGCAAATAATGGATGCTTTGAGTTACCTGTGCAGGCAAATGGTTACCAGGCTCCAGGATCAGGTAGGGCACGAAGGGATGCTGCAGCTCGTGCTATGCAGGGTTGGCATGCTCAGCGTCTAATTGGTTTTGGCGAGGTTGGTGAACCAATTATTAAGGTCTGTTGAAGCTCTGGAGTTTTTGACTGCTAATTATCTTTATTTTAGTGAACCATGTTTCTACTAATGCAGAGATATGTCTTTTTATATGCTTACTCTTTGATAGGACAAGAATCTGAATCAGATGCCAAAGCGTGAAAAAAATCTCAAAAGCATTGGTATGCTTCCTTCCAGATTAGTGTTTTAAATTTATAGGCTTATCAATCATGTTATGAATAGAAACATGCATTCTCAGTGGAAGATGCTTAGACACTGATGGATATCAGAAAAGAATCTTATTACTAGGAGCCTCTAATTCCATGGAGCTGGGCAAACATAGACCTCCTTTTGCTTCGTCCTTACTCCTTGGCAACTGATTTTCTGGTCTATTAGATGTATCTGTAAAATCTGCTGCTGAATGTATCATTACTATTCTCACTCTGCATTTGGTCTCTTGACTCAGGTTCACTTAAACACAAGAGGCCCAGTGAAGTGGAGCACACAGTTAAAGCTGCACGAACAGAAACATCTAAGCAGTTAAGTCTCTTTTTCATTTAGCTTCTCCCTCCCCTTGAGGTTTGGCTAGTGTTGTGTAAAGTGAGCCTAGGCCTGAGGCGAGAGCCAATGTGTGCCTGAAGTACCTCAATGGGATTCAGGTGAAGTGACTTCGTCAAGGCGCACCAAGTACTCACCTTGAATTTGAGCCCAAGGCGCACGAAGCGTGGGTTTTTTCCCCTTCAGTGATGTGTTTTGGGCTGACGATCTATTGGCTTTAATTAGAATATTTGAAATGGTTTCACAGTAGACTTTTTGAATGGAGAATATTTGAAAAGCATCATTGCAGATTACAGCTACAAGTATAAAAATCGCATTCTAATAGGGGTGCAACCCAAGGTACAAAAACTCCAACCCTAACCTGAGCTACTCAACCTAAGTATTTTCTGTTCGGGCTTGGGTTGAATTTGAGTTGAGCCTAAGTTATTACGGCGGGTTCAATTTTTGGGTTAAATTCGGGTTCCTCAAAGTAAATACCTTTTAACTCTTTTATTAGACTCACATAGGTCCAATGAAACCAAGCCCATTAAAGACACAAGCCACATAGAATTTGCCTTCTTTATATACAAGAGGAGGCTTTTTTTGTTTGCAACCGATGTGGGATTCTAACTTGGACATCTTCTTTTATTCTATTCAACATCCCACATCGGTTGAATAAGGGAGTTACTGCCTCTAGTGCTGTAAAAGGTTCTTGATGAGTGTGTTTTATTGTGTAGCCCTTTATATAGTAATTTGGTCCGGGGCTCGGGTTGAACTCGTGAACCCGAAGCTTTAACCCGAGTCCAGCTGAATTCAATTCGGATTAAGGATATTTGGCCCAAGCCCAATCTAAGTTTTAAAAAACTCAACCAAAACATTGATTTTTTCGGGTTGGGTTTGGGTTAGGCCACCCAAGTTGCACCCCCACATTCTAAACCTAAACTCCACTTGTGAAAATCACAAATCCACTCTCATCTGAGTCCAAGTGTAAATATCTTTTTAGGTCTATTGATCTTTGTTTTTTCCTTTTTCATCTTCATCATCCTCTGTGTCTCTCTCTCTCTCCATCTCTTTTTCTTCCGCTTTCATCTTTTTTTTCTTTCCTTTTGCTCTTTGTGAAACTAGCTCCTATTTTATTGAAATCAACCTTTGCTTTTTGAAAAAATTAATCTTATTTTTTTGGTTCAATTAGCTCTTAATACCTGTGAAATTTGCCTTTGTTTTAAGAAATATGTTATATTTGCTTGAAATTTTTTAGATTTGTTGCATGAATCTGTATTTTCTGTGTATTTTTGTAAGTTTTATATATTATATGTCCTTCAATAAAGCTTGGCTTCACGCTTAGGCATCAGAAGACCTTGGGTCAGGGTGCCTTTCGTCTTAAATAGCACTGGGTTTGGCTTATATGTGAATGAACTGTAAATAACTTTGGGCAGAAATTTGAGGCTTAAATTGCTCAAACATAAAATAAAAGCCTCTACTGTTGTGGTTGCTGTTGGATCTCTTTCTAGATTGTGTTTTCCAATATCTTGGTGCGACAAAACCCTACAGAAAAGATAACCTGTGCCTAGTGTGAATGTCAATTCAAAGTATATCAATTATCAAGTTAGGTACCTCTGTTCCCTCGCTTAAAAATAGAGTAGAAATGGACTTCTGTGTGCGCTTGGGCTGCGATATTACCCAATTCTACGAGGCAGCCAAACTATTTCACTACTAAGAACTTCTCCTCTTCTTCTCAACTCCCTGCTGCATCTTACATGAAGCTTCCAGTCGGCAGTCAAAGTTCCAATTTGAGATTTGAAGTTGCGCAGCTGGTTTCAGTATGAGGGATCCTTAGGTAGCGACTGACCTACAATTTTTTCCTAAACTTCCATGCTTGGGGGAGAAGAAGTGTATGTTTGCTTGCTCTCTTGTAATATGTTCCCCCTTTTCGGGTACAGGAGGTGGAACGACCTGTTGATCTACTTACTGCAGTCCAAGAATGATTACGCTGCCTAGGCCTTCCCTGTTGAACCTACATCTGCCTAACTTCCTCATTGACCTCAATAATTGCCCTTCCTCACACACTCACATACGATTCTAAGTGTTGTTTATGATGGTTCCTATCTTAGCCATCAATCCTAAGAAACAATTCTACTTGGTTTCTACTCATTGGTTTCCCATCAAAAATACCTTCGAAATCATTTTTCTCCCCTTTTTTGTGATTTTAACAAGTCATGTGATTGTAGCCTTACTGCACACCTAAAAAAAAAATGTCTTCACTGATCCTCCTTTCATGCCCATGCTGTCTCATCTCACCAGTCACCAGCAAAGACGATTCTACTTGGTGGTCTCTGTCAAATTTGCATTGTACAATTGGATTGTTAGTTCAAATTTCAACTTTGGAGAATGTGATATTATTTGTCATGTATGTTTTAATGCTCCTACCTCCCCTCCCTCCCCCCCAACATTTGTATACCTTTTTCTCTCGCTCGCTCACACACTATTTCATGATATTGTTTTCTTGCAAAGTGTGTCCATTAATTCTCTCAAAAGGTTTTGACATGCAGTCCAGCATGTTACTGTGGGTAGAATGGGTTTCATGTCAAAATGGATCTGCCTCCTCCTATAACAGTGCATGTTTCATAGGTTTGGGGATGTCAATCCGTTCCTGGGTTATCCCAGCATAGCGATCTTAATATTTGAGGAGGAGGCATGCACGTGACTTCTCCTGCAAATCTGCGTGTTTCATAGGTTTGTGCCCTTTGGTACGTGTCCTGGTTATCCCTGAGCAGACGAGCATGGCAATATTTGGTTTTTAGTTTGGGGTGCAAAATGCTGGTGGCGGTGTTATTAAAATTCGGCTGATGTTTGCTTCTATTTGTGTTTCCTGATTAAAGCGCTATGAATGGGGTTCTTCTCCTCTTTGCCTTTTTTTCTCCTGCTTGTATACATCTCTAAACTGCTTTTCATTTGCTAGACTGGTCGCATCTGTTGTTGATGTTGGCCCCCCTGCTGATTGGGTGAAAATCAATGTGCGCCAAACAGTAAGTTTCCAAAAGAAACTTATTACTGCAAATATTACTCAGTTACTAAGTTTTCATTTGGATTTCTAAGTAGTAGTGCCATTTTCATGTGCAGAAAGATTGTTTTGAGGTTTATGCTCTAGTTCCAGGGCTTTTGCGTGAGGAGGTACGTACCTTTTGTGGCACTTTTTATCTTTCTCTTGTTTGGTAGACTGTTGTGCTTTTATTTTGCCTTGATCCTGAATTTGGTATTGGATTGTATAATATGCGATACCATAGGTGTTTGGCATATGATGTTTTTCATTGTAGATATTCGGTTAATGGCCTATGCAACTGTTGTAATAAGCAAGCACAAGACACATGTAGGGTCAGCATTGTTTTCAGTTTAGGAAGCCAGGTAGTTATTTCCACAAAAAAAAAAAATAGCTCTTTGATTTGCTGGGTTTCCCTGAACCAAGTTATATGTTCCTGGAAAGCTTGCATAGCAATAAGAGAATAGCTTGATGCCATTATCTGATCCAGTTTATATAAGACTTAACAGTNCATTTGTATACCTTTTTCTCTCGCTCGCTCACACACTATTTCATGATATTGTTTTCTTGCAAAGTGTGTCCATTAATTCTCTCAAAAGGTTTTGACATGCAGTCCAGCATGTTACTGTGGGTAGAATGGGTTTCATGTCAAAATGGATCTGCCTCCTCCTATAACAGTGCATGTTTCATAGGTTTGGGGATGTCAATCCGTTCCTGGGTTATCCCAGCATAGCGATCTTAATATTTGAGGAGGAGGCATGCACGTGACTTCTCCTGCAAATCTGCGTGTTTCATAGGTTTGTGCCCTTTGGTACGTGTCCTGGTTATCCCTGAGCAGACGAGCATGGCAATATTTGGTTTTTAGTTTGGGGTGCAAAATGCTGGTGGCGGTGTTATTAAAATTCGGCTGATGTTTGCTTCTATTTGTGTTTCCTGATTAAAGCGCTATGAATGGGGTTCTTCTCCTCTTTGCCTTTTTTTCTCCTGCTTGTATACATCTCTAAACTGCTTTTCATTTGCTAGACTGGTCGCATCTGTTGTTGATGTTGGCCCCCCTGCTGATTGGGTGAAAATCAATGTGCGCCAAACAGTAAGTTTCCAAAAGAAACTTATTACTGCAAATATTACTCAGTTACTAAGTTTTCATTTGGATTTCTAAGTAGTAGTGCCATTTTCATGTGCAGAAAGATTGTTTTGAGGTTTATGCTCTAGTTCCAGGGCTTTTGCGTGAGGAGGTACGTACCTTTTGTGGCACTTTTTATCTTTCTCTTGTTTGGTAGACTGTTGTGCTTTTATTTTGCCTTGATCCTGAATTTGGTATTGGATTGTATAATATGCGATACCATAGGTGTTTGGCATATGATGTTTTTCATTGTAGATATTCGGTTAATGGCCTATGCAACTGTTGTAATAAGCAAGCACAAGACACATGTAGGGTCAGCATTGTTTTCAGTTTAGGAAGCCAGGTAGTTATTTCCACAAAAAAAAAAAATAGCTCTTTGATTTGCTGGGTTTCCCTGAACCAAGTTATATGTTCCTGGAAAGCTTGCATAGCAATAAGAGAATAGCTTGATGCCATTATCTGATCCAGTTTATATAAGACTTAACAGTTTTCAGTAGGTGGATAGTAGACATTAAGTAATCTGTTATGTGCTGGGTATGCTTTAAATGTCACATATCTACTGGATATGCTATAAAATTTTCACATTATGTAGCTTGCACATTAGTAGACATCCCATCTGTGCTTTTGCGAAGAAACCCATTATGCTAAAGTTCTTTATTTCTAGGCCCCAGTGTAGTTGTAAAGTTCATCTGGTTATTTGCTGCCTTTGTTTTTACTGGTATTGTCAATTGACTATAACAAGTGTCAAGTCTTACCCCTTTAACGGGTCTTGTTTCCTATCTACCCCCCCAAAAAAAAAAAGTTACTCCTATTGATCTAATTTGGTTGAATCTTTTTGTGCCAACTACTTTTGTTGTGGTCAATTTTTTATTTTGTTTCCAATTTCTTTTAGAGACATGCATATGTTATACATTGCTACTCAACTCAATAAAATCTTGCCTCAACATACCGCATTGGTATGAATTTACTGTAGTATGGAATTCAATAATGTTTCAGTGGAGTCATATGACTGTGCAAAGGTTTTTTTGACAGGTGGTGTTCTATATGATATTCGATTTAGAACTCTTTTCATGGTACTTATGGCCGGTTTCTTGATGGACTCAGGTACGCGTTCAATCGGATCCTGCTGGACGCCTGGTTATAACAGGCCAACCTGAGCAGCTTGACAATCCATGGGGTATCACTGCGTTTAAAAAGGTATGTCTAACATGGTTAAGTGTTAAATGGAGGAAATATGACACTCGTAGGATTGTGCATACCCAACAATTGATGCCAGAATAGATTGGGTGATCATGCCAAATAAATGTTGACCTGCCTTACCTTGATATTCCCCAGTTTTCTATCTATTCTCTTTAGCTTTTAGTGTATTATTTGGTCCTTAATTTTCTTCTATATTCCTAAAGGATTCTTCTGAAATAATGCATTGTGGTGTGTTTTGTAGGTAGTCAGCTTACCTGCAAGAATTGATCCACTGCAGACATCTGCCGTTGTTAGCTTGCATGGTAGACTCTTTGTTCGTGTCCCATTTGAGCAGTCAAATATATAGAGTGGAACTTCAACCTTGAGCAAAGAAAATGAACACTCAGTGGTGGTGATTGGATCATGAAGCTCAAAATTTGAGCAAAGCCAACGTTCCTTAATCAGTAGAAAATGCCTAACGTCCTTTATGCTGAGCTTTGCTGTCGTATTGTGCATGTCTGCATTTAAATATTAGGTTTAGAGGTCCTTTGTACGCGAAGTTTGAGTTAGGTAGTGAGGAGGCTTTTTCGGCTTAGGTCTCCCTCAATAGCTTTTGTGGCTACATTGCTTGACGAATTAGTTTACATATCGACTCGTTACTCTATGGCAACAGGAAATTATTAATTTGCTATGCTGTTCCATCTGTTTGGGTCCTGAGACTAACGAGTTGGGCTACTTAATGACAGCAAATCATTGCTTTTTGTGCTTCCAGTGGAACTTTAACCTGCATTTTCCCATGTTTTATGGAGTAGAAATCCTTGACCTCCCAATGCTTGCACTGTATTCCCTCGGCAATCCCTCGTACATAGTTTTCATATCCACTTCCCAAACTTGAGGCTAGCTGGACCTTGGATTTGATACATTCTTCACAATATTTGACAAGAAATGGTTTGCTTCACCAGCTAGTCTTATAACAAATGCAATTCAACGTTGCCTTTTGTCATTTGTTTAATGTTTAATAAACCAGGGCATGAAGGTAATGGATGAGATTTGAACTGATGGCGCTCGCTTTCTTCAATTCAAAATGCATTTCTTCTGCATATGACGAGATCCTGGGAACTGTGATGTCAATAAAATAGATGCAGAGAACGATGCCAACGTGCAAAAGATATTGCCACATATCAAACACTTGGAAACAACTGCTGTTTTTATGAGGAACAAATCACGAGTGAAAATCCTTAGAAACCATGATATAGTCATTCAATAAGGTCTTATCAAGATGGTAAAATTCTCCCCTTTCTCTGTATCATTGAGATTTAAAAAAAAAAAAAAAAACTTATCTACAAAGATAAAAAAATGATAAACCAGGTTACTTGCCAAAAACTAGGTCCCTCTTATGGCCAATCAGCAGATTACTTTCCAATTCCTTTTTTTTTTTCCCAACATTTCTTCAACTAATTGCTCCACAAGAGTGAAGCCACATCGAGAAAGAAAACGCATCTGCATGAGCCGGTAGAATGTTGTCATATCCCCTCACAGAAGCCCACCCACAACGTGAAACAAACAGTTTCCCATAAACTAATATGGAGAAACTGTCTCAATCAATTCAAAACCCACCATAACTCAGAACACATAACAATGACGTTCTTAAAAAAATATTCTGCTATATGCCACCAGTGCCTATGGTGTTGCTCCATGAGATCGCAGGCAATGAGTAGCTCTAGCTCCACAATATATTGTTCTATCAAGGGAATTCAAACCCTGAATGGTGTAAAACTGATTGAAAGAGGAGTTATGCCATACCCCTGAATTACTGCTGTTAACATGAAACAAACAAGGGACAACTAGAATATCAAATAAAGTTCGCAGGAGGATATTCCTTAATGGTAGTGATGCATCTAGAATTCAGGCTTTTCATACAAGAGGATTGTTCACCAGGAATACCTGGTGAATTAGAAAAGACAATCATATCATGGAAGCTGCTTTCCAAGTAAGAACCTTCAAAGCCAAGAAGTTTCACTTGATTTCACACGTATAGAGCCCCTAGTGGCATTATGTTATAGGACATAGCATGAAAACAGTTGATCTCTTGCTTGAGCATTTCAACTTCATGAATACATGAACTTGACTCAATGCACAATCTGAACCAAGAGGGTTAGAAGAACTTCCCAACCTATAATTTTGCAATTTTGATGACAAGCAATGTTGACTAATAAATTTCTTCAGATATTATGAAAGTGGTTTTTAAAAAAAAAATCTTTTACCCTCCACTGCAACAACAAAAATTGCACACCAAAATTATGAAGTGTAGTGAAAATTTTAAAGGCAAACATACCATTTTTAATCATTAAGAAGAGAACAAAAGCACATCACAGCACACACATGTTTATAGGAAGAAGCAACATCATACATACACATGCCTATGCAAAGAAGCACAAATTCCTGCACATTGGTTGAGTAACCTTGTTGGTCNATTTAAAAAAAAAAAAAAAAACTTATCTACAAAGATAAAAAAATGATAAACCAGGTTACTTGCCAAAAACTAGGTCCCTCTTATGGCCAATCAGCAGATTACTTTCCAATTCCTTTTTTTTTTTCCCAACATTTCTTCAACTAATTGCTCCACAAGAGTGAAGCCACATCGAGAAAGAAAACGCATCTGCATGAGCCGGTAGAATGTTGTCATATCCCCTCACAGAAGCCCACCCACAACGTGAAACAAACAGTTTCCCATAAACTAATATGGAGAAACTGTCTCAATCAATTCAAAACCCACCATAACTCAGAACACATAACAATGACGTTCTTAAAAAAATATTCTGCTATATGCCACCAGTGCCTATGGTGTTGCTCCATGAGATCGCAGGCAATGAGTAGCTCTAGCTCCACAATATATTGTTCTATCAAGGGAATTCAAACCCTGAATGGTGTAAAACTGATTGAAAGAGGAGTTATGCCATACCCCTGAATTACTGCTGTTAACATGAAACAAACAAGGGACAACTAGAATATCAAATAAAGTTCGCAGGAGGATATTCCTTAATGGTAGTGATGCATCTAGAATTCAGGCTTTTCATACAAGAGGATTGTTCACCAGGAATACCTGGTGAATTAGAAAAGACAATCATATCATGGAAGCTGCTTTCCAAGTAAGAACCTTCAAAGCCAAGAAGTTTCACTTGATTTCACACGTATAGAGCCCCTAGTGGCATTATGTTATAGGACATAGCATGAAAACAGTTGATCTCTTGCTTGAGCATTTCAACTTCATGAATACATGAACTTGACTCAATGCACAATCTGAACCAAGAGGGTTAGAAGAACTTCCCAACCTATAATTTTGCAATTTTGATGACAAGCAATGTTGACTAATAAATTTCTTCAGATATTATGAAAGTGGTTTTTAAAAAAAAAATCTTTTACCCTCCACTGCAACAACAAAAATTGCACACCAAAATTATGAAGTGTAGTGAAAATTTTAAAGGCAAACATACCATTTTTAATCATTAAGAAGAGAACAAAAGCACATCACAGCACACACATGTTTATAGGAAGAAGCAACATCATACATACACATGCCTATGCAAAGAAGCACAAATTCCTGCACATTGGTTGAGTAACCTTGTTGGTCAGGATTTATCCTACTTGTACTAAAACATCCCTCATCGTATTAACAGACATTTCTAATATTAAAGAAGGAAAACCAATGATATAGCAGCTGGATTGGAATCCAAGAGAAGCATAATCTGTTCTTCTAATCAGTCATCCTTGTGCAGAAACTGGTGATTATTCTGATAGCTTAGCTTAAAACCAGATTGGCATAGCCGCCCTTGTTGTCAGTCTCCACTAACTAACTATTCTACGAAGTTGCCAAAGGTTTAATAAATGCTGAAACTTGAAAGCAATTTCCGAGTATTATTTATGTTCTTATAGTGACACAAGTGACACATTTGCATTTATGCCTTGGAGAAAAGCACAAGAAATCCATCAGTGCCCTTATTGATGCACCATGTACGATTAGAAGTGCATAGTGCACAAAGTATACAGTAAGGAAGAGCATATTCAGCCGACTGCAAAGGTTTCGTGTTGACAAGAGGGTAAGGCAAAGGCCTGACATGAAGATAAATTTCTGGCACTTTTTTCTTTTTCCATCATGACCACTTTAGCAACGGAGAGATTTGTAAGAGACAACAGTGTTTAGTAGTAGTCCAGACATGTTCCATAAATCAGTCATATTGATCTACAATTGCCAGTTAACAAATGTTTATGTTTATTCGAAAGAGGGGGAAAATCATTATTTAATACAAACGTAGATGTGGTATGGATGCTTTTTCCACAAGGATGACAAGTAAAAAAAACAAAAACACAAGAAATCCATTACTGAATACTCTGTTGTTTATAGAAGCTTACAACTATGTATGGATGAGACTTCGCATGTAGATTCCTAAGTCAAGGTATGTGATATGCCACTTACCAAGGCTAAATTACAGATGTTTGTAACTTCCAGCTGATTTTTATTCCGCGGATTTATTACTCCGGTTCTTGTTCCCGTAAATCAATCCAGTTTCCTAAAGATATATATGAACATTGGCAATATAGTTAAAAAGAAGTGGATTAGGAGTGAATAAGTGGAATAAAAAGTCAGAATTCTAAACAATTATCGAGGATGATAGAGATAGATATCGATAAAACCTGAGGATCAGGAATGGGTTTTCGCTTCTCGACGTAACGGTAAGGATCAGCTACTGCCAGAGCTGCTGCTCTTTCCTGGAATGCAAAATATATAAATACATATACACAAAACGAAAATCCAGAGAAATTGCGTGTGTGTGGAATTGAACAAAGTACCTGTTGCTCTCTCTTGAGATCTTGAGAGGGCTTCACCCAAAGGAAGTAAGCTAGTGTTCCAGCCACGGCCCACGAGGCCAAGTTGCTACCTCCCCTGAGACCTCCCATGGAATTGCCTATGAAAGACCTCACATTCCCCAGCGATCTTCTCCAACTGCTCGCCATCACATGTGATGGATCGGGGTTGAATTGAAAGTTTTTCTAGGGTTTTTTTTTTCTGACGACTTCTATTTCTTCTTTCTCTGTGACTCTGGGAGTGGGAGGTTCATTTCCTTTCCATTATACACTTATTGGGAAATTTAGACAAAAGAAAAGTAGAGAAACTCGATATCTATCGCTGCTACAATTTACGCCTCGGGGATGATTACGATTGCTTTGCTTGTGAACCAAGAGAATAACGAAGTCGTTCAAATTACACTTACACCCCTACAGGTTCTAACAATTATAATAGACACCCCCATTGAGAATTAGTGAAATTTACTATTTCAATGTGTTGGTTATTAGACCGGATGATGGTTAATTTGGTGATATTTTATAATTAATAATAATAATTGGTGATGTGAGATCACATTAAATATTTTATTTTGTTCCATTACAACCCTCCATCACCTCTCCCCAAACACAAAACTAAAATCAATACACCTTTTCATTGTACTGGAAAAGCCCAATTAATAGAGTTAAGCTGCCATATATGTATGTATGTATGTACGTACGCACGCAGTTAGAGATGATAGTTGATCAGAAAAAAATAAATATTTGTCTAAATTCTTCTGATTTGGACGAGTTAAGCGGTCATATACATATGTACGTGCTTGTCTATTTTTAGTCCTATTAGATGGAATCCAACGCTCTGCCATTACTTATCTGCCACATTCCTCTCTTGGTCGTGGCAATAAATGTCTCAATGGGTGGTCAAGAGTCTTATGATTTTATAGATGAGGATCTGATCGTAAATATCTTCGACTTTTATTTTAAATTATTCTCTAAACTTTCAAATATTTCAACTTGTGCCTTAAACTTTGTAATTTATTTCAATCAAAAAATTAAATTTAGCCGAAGAAAATAATTGAAATAAATTGTGTAATTTAAGGGATAAATAAATAAAGACAATTAAAAATTTTAAAAAATTGTTTAGAATAAAAGTCGTAATTGAGAGGCGTTTATAAAATTCAACCCATGATTAGATCAGCCGTGACGTAAATTTGAACTAGGTTCCCTCCTCCCTATTAATAATACATTCAGAGAGGAGAGCGCAAGTGCTGGCTTGACAAAATTCCCATTTTTTTTGTGTAAAAATTATCACTCCTACAAACCAAAGAGTGTGGATGGCGGGTGCGGTGAAGGGCAGAGTGTGTGTGACAGGAGCAGGAGGGTTCGTAGGTTCATGGATGGTAAAGCTGCTTCTCTCTAAGGACTACACTGTCCATGGCACCGTCAGAGATCCTGGTTTGTTATGTTGTCATCCCTTTTTCTTCAATTGAACCTTTTTCATCCCTTTTTTATTTTTATTTATTTTTAACACTCTGCACTTGTTTCTAGTGCTGCCAATTGTTTGACATTTCTTCAAATTAATATTATCTGGCAGGGGATGAGAAGTATAATCATCTGAATAAACTTGAAAAAGCATCTGATAATCTCAAACTCTTCAAGGCAGACCTGCTCGATTACAACTCTCTCCTTGCTGCCATCACCGGATGTGACGGAGTATTCCATGTTGCCAGTCCAGTTCCTTCCAGCAATGTACCAAATCCTGAGGCAAGATTGCTTTCCTTTTATGATTGATGAGCTTGTTTACCCAGAAATGTTGGAATTTTATTGGTTCGTTTCTAAGACCTTAGATTGAGGTTTCGTAATTTCTATCATTTGTTAACAATACAAATGACCTGTGAAACAGCTTCTATGTATTGTTGACTGAGTTCTCTACCTACACTCGGTAAATTCAGCTACCTTTAAATGCACATGGCTTACTTAATTGTCTTGTGCATATGGAACCGTATGTTGGTTGCGGTGGAAGATTTCGGTATCCTTATATAATGTTATCTTCACTGAATGATTTACAAATTTTGGTTGTTTCATGTACTTTTGGAGGGTGAAACAACTTATGGAAATTCATCAACTAAAAGTTCCATGTTGACCTTTCTATAGGAATATAGTGAAGACACTGGTTTGTCCATGCTGATCTTTCCATAGGACTATAGAATTCATCTCTTAAGTTGGTTTACCTGGTGCTGAGCTCCTCACTGTAGGCGTCAGCTTCCATCAAAACTTCCAATTCAATTGATGCATTTAACCATTTTTCCTAATTGCTAACTGTATTCTATAGCTTTGGTGTAGGTAGAGTTAATTGAGCCTACTGTAAAAGGTACACTTAATGTACTCAGGGCATGCTGCGAAGCAAATATCAAGCGTGTCGTGATTGTATCCTCTGGCGCTGCTGTAATCATGAACCCTAAGTGGCCTAAGGGTCAAGTGAAGGATGAGACTTGTTGGTCTGACAAAGATTACTGCAAGGAAACCAATGTAATCATTTACGTTATTCAACTCTACAAACTTTTAATTCTCGTGGATGCTTTGAGTGGTCCAATCCACTGCTTATTGATAACATAGCTGAGCAATTGTGAAATATATGTATACCCCTTCAAAATACCTCCATTGTTCATTCTGAACTACCTGCCTGGTTTGGTGTTTGCACAGAACTGGTATTATTTTTCCAAGACTGAAGCAGAGAGTGTGGCTTGGGAGTTTGCGAAAAAAAATGGGCTCGATCTTATAGTTGTGTGTCCAACCCTTATTTTGGGGCCGCTACTGCAGAGCTCAATTAATGCTAGTAGTTTGGTTCTGGTTAAGCTTCTGAAAGGTACCTGCTCTTGCCATGCCCCAATTTGTAGTTTTTTTTTCCTTTTTTGTAAAATGTGTGTGGTTTTCTTTACATATTTAGGGCTATATTGCTATTTGAATATCTGTGTTGAGATGCCGAAGTGAATACTAGTTTTTCATCTTTTGGGTATAAGCTTTGCTTCGTTGTTAGCCTTCTTATTACACTTGGGCTTCCGATGACCAACCCTATTTAGGATATGAAGGCATTTGGGACTCACTCACTTTAAGCTTCCAAAAACTACTTTTTTCTTAATCTTTCTCAATATAGTAGGTTTCGGGAGAATGAGGCTGAATTGCAGAATAGTTCAGCTCCTAGGCTTTAGTGGTGAAGCAATTTCATTCAGCACCCTAGTTGGACTAATCAATGTTGAGTTGAGAATTGAATAACAACTTAATCAATAAACTTCTCAATTTTGTTTCATTGCTGATATTACAAGGATTCATGATGTCTTCAGGCTTTAAACTTGAAATGTTTAGTAAAGCTTCACTTTGCCCTTAGAGGCAATTAATCTGTGGTAAAGTGTGGACAATATTACTAAGCAATCTTTTAATATTTGGAGATTCTAATGAAATGAATTGTTTCTTTGAATATAATGAAAGACAAATGTGGTCATCAACTCGAGTTCATAGTTTTTAATATTGTACGATACGTCATGATACAGTTGAAAAACGATATGTATCGTGTCTCTGTATTATTTTTGCACCGTATCGTATGATACACGATACAATACGATACGTCTGATACATATAATACCTGACGATTCTGTTTTTTTTTTTTTTGGGGGCTAGAATGATATCATTTTACTCTAGAATTTTTTTTTAAATCACTAACTAGTGAAACGTCGTTTCAGTGGTTATGATTTAAAAAAAAAAATAAAGTCTGCTATTAATTTTGTTCAATTGAATTGAAAATTCTTGATTAATATTAAGATTGTTCAACCAATTGATGTTAAAGTTTGAATTAAAGGTGTTTGTATTTTTATATTACTAAACTATATTGGAAACTTCAATAGTTGGTAGAATACTAATGAAATACTATGTTATTATGAGTCTGTATGTGTGTGTGTCTATATATATATTATTAATAATTATTTAAAAATTAAAATTGCGCGTATCTTACAATACATAATACGATACACTATTTTTGAAAAACAATACACCTTCCGATACGCGATTTGACAACTGTGCTCGAGCGATGTGTTGCGGGTTCTAGTCCAAGAATTTGCCTCTCCAAACTGAGGGTAAGTACCAATTATCCCCTGCTATAGACAAGAGTTTTGTGCACTAGGCATGCGTTTTTTAATTTTATGAAAGAAACAAACGTAACCAGGAATTTAATAAGAGTTGGAATCTTGAGAATATAATTGTATCTAGAACACCAAATTACTTAATATATTGCTGTTATAGTTTGGTCAGTGGAAGCTCAAGAATCCGTACGAAGTGACTATGGTTCTAAAATTGTTTTTAATAGCATAGGTTGGTGCATTGGTGAAAGCTTGGCCTATCAAACACAAGAATGCAGGTTTTGTACGGAAGTACCTTTTGTTTGTGTAATGTTAAAAGGTCCAAGTTATACACAATCCAGTCCTCCAAGCACCCCAAGGCCTCCGTTTGCTTCGTCGCTTGCTAGGAAAAGTGCTCCTGAAACGCAGATTGACCCCATTTAAAACAAGAAGAGGTATACCCATTTTAAACAAGAGATCCTTTCTTGCAGGTTCTCAATAATGATTAACATGTAAGGTTACTGGGTTTCGAAAACTTGAATTTCAACTAGAAAGTTAGCTATTTAACTCAAGAACATTTCTGCACAGAATGATAAAGACTGCATATGCATCTTGTGTTTCAATAGTCTATCTAGTTTCATATCATAGGAATATAGATTCAATATTTTGTACTTCTTGGTTATCTAATAGCACTGTATACTTAAAAGAATTCCAGAATTCTCCACCCTTTAGATTACAAAGTATATTCAAGAGTGGAAAAATTTTGGGTTATGAATAACTTGGGGGGAATCGGGAGATCTTTATTTTACAGGATTTAATAGTACAGTTCACGTTGTATATGCTATTTGCTCTTACTGGAGGGTGAGAGGAACAGGAGAGTAGAACTGAGAAATGAGCAGCGAGCTCCTTCTAGTCCAAGTAGTTGTTTAGGAGTATCTCATTTTTTCCTATCTATTTGGTGTTTGAATTGTTTCGGTTGGGGCTGAGGTTCAGAACAGATGCAATGTAGCTTATATTGTAGATCTGGAGGGAGAAGTTCAAAATGTAGCTGGGTGGCAGTATGATGCTAGACTTGTCTAGACTCTAGAGAAACTGATAGTGATATTGTGTCTCTCAGGTAGCTAGGAACCTATTTCCCTATCTTCACTCTAGTAGAGAAAAAAAGTCACATGCGAGAAAACTCTCCACATGCAGGAATAACATGCACGACCACACAGACACTCCTAAGAAAGAAAAAGATATTCTTTACTAAATGCTGCTGCTTATTTTGATTGAATGATTGAAATTTATCTGGATCCAAGTAAGCCAAGACACTGCACTTCATGTTGAACATTTTAGATTCTGTTTCTGAGCATTGTCCACTTGCATACAATTATGGAATCCAAGATGGGAGGCCGAAAGCAAATTTTGCACTTTTGTAATGGAATCGGGGCTGAAGGAAAATTTGGTTTCAAATTTGCAATTGTCACGTGGTAAATAACTGTTCTGCTAATTTGGTTTTTCCTCTCCTAGACTTGGTTTGCGGTAAATAAAACATAAATGCTTTCCTTTTTGAGTTGTATTTCTTCTTTCTTCCCATTTGATGATGAAGAAGGGCATGAAAAAGTAGAAAACAAGGTTTGGACGATGGTAGATGTACGGGATGTGGCTGAAGCACTGCTAGTGGTATATGAGAAAAGTGAAGCTGAAGGAAGATATATATGCACAGCTCACATGATCATGACCCAGGATTCGGTGGAAACATTGAAGAGGATATATCCTACTTACAACTATCCCAAGGGGTAGATCTCTTGCTCTATAACATTTTTTGTCCCAAGTTGATAGTCTCTCATCTCTCTATCTATCTTTAGGACATTTATTTATTCAAAGTTTTTTGCCTCCGAATATTAGTTTGTCTTGTTCAATTTTATATTGTCAACAGAAAAAGTATCTTGGATGGGATACGGGTATTGTTTGATTAAGGTCACCCAGCCCCTTTGGATGGTTTAAGCATGATTCTGGTTTGATCTTCGGTGAGATGTTTGCTTGTTTATGTTGGTTTGTCTTATTTGCTTCATTTATTGGCAGTTTTACCGAGGGAAATGAAGGTGACGAACTGAGTTCAGAGAAATTGCAGAAGCTGGGTTGGAATTGCAAGGCAGTCGAGGAAACTCTGGTGGATTCTGTTGAAAGCTACAAACAAGCTGGAATTCTGAAGTAGAAAGGATTGGCATTATATTATAGCTTTTGGAGGTTGACTGTCACCAAGCATTCTTGAAGTAAAAAAGTCTTGTTTTCCTCTCATAGCTTTCATATTTGCTTGTGTTTTGTTACTCTGTATTATGGTGTTGGAGACATTTCACATGATGTATGAATCTCTGTGGCTCCTGAATAGTGGGAGGTAATACTACAGAAATTATGTGGAATAAATGTCTCTTGTTTGATCAACTGTTTCATGGGCACTTTTTCCCTGGAGCTACATTGACGTTGCTTTTGCTGTTTCGATGTCTTTTGGCCATTCATGTGAGTTGTGGCATGTTGCTACTGTTTTGGCATGAAGGAGCTCATGGAGTGTTTCTGAATTGCATGACTTGTTATCTCTGGTTGTGCACAGATCATATCTTGCTTTCCATTATGTGGCCTCTTAAATTGAGAAATGGATCATCAACCCACAAGAGTATTATTTTTGAGACTTCAAGGTTGAAGTAGGCTCATTCTTTTCCTTGGTTCCCAACTAAGCAGCGTAGGTATGTGGGGTGTGTTCAAATAAGGAAAGCACAGGGTATGAGAGATCACTAGGATTTGGTCCCTCCATGGCACTTTCATGATTATTATTGTTGTTTTCTCTTCACATTTTTTCACAGTTTCTTGGACTGCATCAGACACGTGCTATTTAAGGGTTAGTTTGATTAGAAAGAAAATAATAGTTGAAAGTGAAGTGAAAATAATAAAAAAAATAATAATAATATATATATATATATACAAGGGGCGGAGTCAGAAAATTGTTCAAAGGTGTGCATTGTATATTTTAACAAGCTTAATTTTCTTCTTGCATTTGATAAAAATAGAATATTGTATTTATATTTAATTATATTCTGTTTAGTTCTTAAAAGTTCATTAAACTTAAAAGACTAAAATTGCTAAGTATAGTAGATACAAATGACAAAAAAAAAAAAAGGCTGATTATATCTTTTTACCAAACAAAGGCTAATCAAAATTATTTAGAATTGACTCCGATGAATTTTCATACGTTGAAAGTCTTGTATTAATTTTATTATTATTTATATCTAAAATCATATTATCACTTAACTATTTATCATTTATTCGATTACACAATAAAATATATTATCTATCATGTCGGTAATAATTACTAAAATAAATGTCAAAATTATAAATAAACTTATGGATAGATCATGTCTTTGTTGATTTTAGCTAAAAAATAGGGTGGACACAATGTAATATATAAAAAAAATACTTAAAAAATATATAAGTAAATTTTTTTTTTTTTTAAAAAAACCGCTTAAGGTGGCTCTGCCCCCTGTATATATATATTGATGCAATTGATTATGAAGAATTTTTTTTGAGAAATTTAAAAAACTTTTTTTTTTTTGAGGAAATTACCTTTCCATGAGTGAACCCCGTTTCATACCATGCCCATTTGTTGACCGGTCTGAATAGGTCAGCGGATCAAATTTGGGTCCATATAAATTCGAATCCAAACCCTTGCTAGCTTGGCTGCCCTGCCCCTTTCACCCAACAAAATAAAAAAAATTGCTACCAAAAATAATATCAAAAACAAGTGGCAAGATATCTCTATTTCTTGTATGTGGCCGGGCTTAATAATAAGGTTTGACCCCCAACCTTCAGTTACACATCTAACCTCGGTGACGAGGTCGTTCAGTTACACATCTAACCTCAGACAACGGTGACGAGGTCGTACACATCATTTCACATGGATGTTCAATATTTTTAATTCAAGTTAAGAGTATAAATCATGCTCTTTTATTCACGGGTTGTTCAAAAGATGTATAGATCTTTTGAGATATAACTCAAATTTATATTTCAAACAAACGAGGACTATTGGATTAATAAGTCATATCAATTTTTTTAAATGGAATCCACTGATATAATATTCTCTTAATTTTAAATACAAATTTAAATTCCATTGGATTGCTTTAATAATAATATCATACCCGATAGAGAGCTTAATATAATAATTCGGAACATGTGGGTGATATGGACAAGCAATTTGTTGACTTCACGACTGGCAGGCCAATGGACGAGGATAACAAAGGAAAGGCTGAGATGATCGACTTAACAAACTGGTCACACACTCACACAGAGAGAGAGACAGACAGAGAAAGAGAGAGATGGAGGAGAATAAAGAGAAGCAAAGAGTGTGCGTAACAGGTGCAGGAGGGTATTTGGCATCATGGGTCGTGAAGTTTCTTCTCTCCAAGGGTTACATGGTCCATGGAACTGTTAGAGACCCCTGTATGTATATGTATCCTCACCTACCCAGACCATTAACACATCTTTCCTTCAATCTGTTTCAGTTTTATTAATTTGCAGTATTAGACTTTTGGATTGATTTACTAAGAATACGTTTATGTTTCTACTTTTTTCCAATATGGAAGTCTCGATTGCGTGCTTGAACTTGATCATGTTATCATATTCATAATTCATCGCCCTTGTTTCTTTCATTTATTAATTATTAGGACTTAAATTCTTGGATTTTTCACCATGATTATCTTCCAGAAAGTTGCTGCTTCTTTTATCAGTTCCAATGCAATTAATCATCTTGAATAACAAATTTTAGCAACTTTGGTTGATTAATCTATTGACAACTAATTGGGTCCATCAAAGTTAAACTGTCTCTCTCCCTGCCCAAGTTACATGTACCATTGTACCAAGTAATAATGTAACATATGACATTACCCATATCTTATCTTTTATCATCGAGATTTATCATGCCAAGCATTAGGTTGGGACTTGGGAAGACATCCCAAATTCTGTAAACTTGCTCAAGGCTTTTCTTATATTCTATATAAGTTTCTAAAATATGGGGAGACAATGTTTTTTGTAGACCAAACAACATGAGGTAGAAAATAACTATTCCTGTTCTTTTAATTGTCTTTCAGTCTTTCCAAGAATGAAATAGGGCTTCACGGCTTATCGAAAAAAATAAACAGGGCTTCATGTTCAAGTTGATTTGAGAATTTGTCCTTGTGAGTTTTGTTGTTTTCCTTCACATTTTCGTACAAATGTTTCTCAGGTGATGAAAAGAAGAATGGTCATCTGAAGAAGTTGGAAAAAGCTGCAGAGAATCTGCAACTCTTTAAGACAGACTTGCTGGACTATGAAGGTCTGTGTGCTGCCATTGCTGGATGCACTGGGGTTTTTCATGTCGCCTGTCCAGTACCTGCTAGTCGAAGTGTGCCTAATCCTGAGGCAAGATGTTACCTCATAATCACCTCTAATTTTTTTTATTTTTTTGCATTCGAATTTAGAAATGACTCCCTTTCCCCTGTACTGAGTTAAACTAGAATCCTATTTGGAAACTGATAAGGATTTTATGGTAAATGAATGACCTTGCTTTTGTAGGGCAGCCCCTAGTAGTAACATTGAATATGATATTGAACCGAATTTTGCCTAGTACCAATTGCAATTTGCAAATGTGTATAGCTGTGATCTTAATCTAACAATAACCAAAACGAGTGAGTGCACACAGGTGGAACTGCTTGAACCAGCTATTACGGGTACTAGGAATGTACTAAATGCTTGTTTGAAGGCCAAGGTGAAAAAAGTTGTGGTTGTATCAGCTACTGGAGCTGTCATTTTCAACCCTTATTGGCACAAGGATCAGCCAATGGATGAAAGCTGTTGGACAGACACAGAACACTGCAAATCAATTCAGGTATTTCAAATTGTTGTGTAATTAGCCAAACAATGAAACAAGTTAGGTTACAGATGAAATGGTGGATTAACGGGGGAATTTTGCAAGACAACTGAGGTATCTCATCAACACTAGCTATCAATAGATATGTGCCTTAGATTTGAAGGTGGGTCAAGATTTAAGGCATTTTGCAGTTGCACCTAAACGCTCAAGCAATAGTCACAACATGTCACTGGCAGTAAAATGCCAGTTTACATCATTATACCAATGTAGAAGGGAATTTAAACCGTGGTGGCTACCATCTTGCAAAACTATTTTCATTTGTGTTTTAGAAGCTTTTGGTGAAATATTGACTGAGCTCATAGTTCATTTTGAAAATCAGAACTGGTATTGTGTTGGCAAGACTGTATCAGAGCGTGAGGCTTTGGAGTATGCAAGGAGAGGTGAACTCAACCTCGTAACAGTTTGTCCATCCATTATCATCGGGCCACTGTTGCAATCGACATTAAATGCCAGTAGCTTATTTCTTCTAAGGTGCATGAAAGGTTTGTACACACACTACAACTTCTTTTTTTTTTTTCTTTTTTTTTGGTGTATATCGGGCAAAGAAAAGATGCTATGTTATATCCTTCCTAGTTGAAAGGAGGAAGGATGCCATTGGACCTGAAGACAACCTGTCAAACATGATTGCCATGCACAGGCAACAGGGGAGATATATGCTTAAGGAGATATTTTTCCTGTTATTTTTTGGTTGTTGGTGAGGTCGTGGAGGTTCTTTAAATTAAAAAATCTTTTCTAGTAAAGTATGTAACCTGTAACTTTGCTTCATTTCCTTGGATTGCCATGGAGAGTAGATGCAAGTGATACAATGGAAGATAGCTATTGTCCAGTGGTAGATGTGCGTGATGTTGCTGAGGCAATCCTCCTGGCATATGAAAATCCAGAGGCAGAGGGGAGATACATATGTTCTTCGTATGACGTTCGAACACAATTTCTGGTTGAAAAGTTGAAGAGCATGTTTCCCAGCTACAATTACCCTACAAAGTAAGTTTAGTCGTCATTTCAGCACCATAAAAACAAAAAGAGCTCAAATCCTGGAGTTAATGGGGGCTTAATTCCACTAAATTATGATGCACAGGGTTCCAAATTCCTTAAGCCCATTGTGGTAAAGGGATTTGAACTCAGAGCAATGCACTATAAATGCAATAACCCTTGTTTAAATTTCATGCCAGTTTTACAGAGGCAAAGGATGGTTTGAAGCTGAATTCCGAGAAGTTGCAGAATTTGGGATGGAAGTATAGGGCGTTGGAAGAGACCATAGTTGATGCTGTTAAGAATCTTGAAGAAAGTGGTTTGTTAAACAAAGACTAGTCATCACATGTTGTATTGTAGCCGAATAACAACAACTACAACTACATATATATTTCTATAGTAATAATTGTGCTGACCTTGGCTTTTGCTAGCAGCAAAATTCATGTTTCTCATTATTTTTTCTTGTATGTGCTGGGCTTCTTTTTGGTGAACATGTCACACCACAACCACAAAACAAAACATGCGCAGAGTAAACACACACACACAGTGGTCCCTCTCTCCTTCCGCTGCAACATCAATATTAAGATTATGTGTGCGTGCGGGTGTGTGTGGGAGATTGATTAGGTTTGTGTGGACCATGTGGCCTAGAGTAGAATTACTTCTAAATTTTGTCAAAAAAACCCTAGCCACTAGCTTGTAATTTTTTCCGTATCCACTAATAAGGAGATCTGATTATGACCCTTTTTTGTTTTGATGTCCATTATCTTATAACATAAAAAATTAACAATGGACAATAGCACGGGATGGATCTAGCTCACTTGTCTTGGAACCTTTTTATTTTATTTTTGGTATTGATTGAAGAAAGGAAATGATGATTCATGCACGTCATATGAACTATCCATCCATTGCGAGGGTCCCACCCTTGTCCCTTTGACAACTTGACCATGAGCTTAGCTTTATCCATTCTCCTCAATTAATTAGTTAATTAAAGATAGAAAAAAAACATCATATTTCAATCAAATAAGTAAAATAAATTAACATACCAATGGTATAAAATGTGTGTGGATGGAGAACAACTCTCTCTCTCTCTCTCTCTCCCCCCATTAATTTCTTACCACTCTAGGTTATGAATTTTGAGTCATGTAATTGGCACTTTAATTATAATCATAGGTCATTGGAGGCAATTGAAATTTGACTAGACATTTGTTAATTACACATGCTAATATATGAAAATTTACAATCAAATGGGAAGGTATCCTAGTAGGTATATATGATATGATGCATGCATGGTTATACTACAACCAAACGGCTCAAAAACTAGTAAACAAAAATCTCTCAAACACCTGAACAAATTTTTTTTTAAAAAACGAATAAATTGGGAGTTAAGTCATAGTACTTAAAAGTAAATTTTTCATACTTGTTTTTTTGGCTAACTATGAAATAACATGCAATTAAAAAGTTTACATTGAAAATTATTTTTCAATTTGATATTAGAAAATGAAATAGTAAATTACACTTCAAAAGATCGTTTGAATTTTAATTTATACCATCAAAAATAAAAAATTCCAATTTACACTCTCAAATATATAAAATTGTATCAATACGCAACTGAAACTAACAACAATTAGTTTGTCTTCTAAAATTTGTTGGGTAAGTTAGATCTAAACCTCTTCAAGTTTGTCACTTAATCGTTTGAATCCCTTCATATTTAAAATATTATTTTTACATCTCCTAACGTTTGTGTATGTGTAACACATAATCCCTTGTCGTTAATATTTGTTAATATAACCGTTAAAAAATATGATTTTATCATAATAAAAAATTATAATTTTCATACTACCATTTATTTTGTGAGTCCGTTATATTCTAAAATTCAAAATCAAATTTATCATTTGAATGTCTAATATAATACATGTATTTATATATCCAATATAATACATAGCTTGAATAGAATTATTTGGATATCTAATTGAGGGAACATTTTTAGTCATATTTGAATTTTCAATGGATGTAGATGTAAAATTTTAAATGTGAGGGATCTAGGTGATTAAGTAACAAGTATGAGGGGGTCTATGTATAATTTATCTATTTAATTTTAGATAGTGGTGACTATTAGTTTTAGGTGCACATTAATATAAATTTTTATTTTTGAATGTAAAAATTAAAATTTTTAATTTTTAAAGATAAAAATTAAAATTTGAATAAAAATGTAATTTGTGATTAATCTTATTTATAAACTAGTCATAACCCGTGCTTGAAGACACGATAAAATATAAAATTCAAGCGTCCAAAAAATTGATCCCATTATTTTAATTTTTTTCAAAATATATTAACTATAAATTAATCAAATATTAAATAATTAAATATATGATAGAAATGAGTGATGTGATATTTTTAGGGAAGAAATATATAAATGATTAAAAATATGATAGAAATAAGTGATGCGATTTGACGTTTGAGTCTGACAAAATAATGATGGGTGAAGTAAGTAATTGATGATGATTTTAAAGAAAAAAATATAACTGAAATAAAATTTAAACACATTTTTATTTTATTATATAAATTACCTAAATTAATTAAATGTAAGCGGGTGTGAAGAGGATGGCTAGTGTGTCGCCGTCCAAGCTGTACCCTTTGTTTGAGAAATGAGAATCCACGAAGCTAAAGCAGTTTTTCAACTTCTTTTTAGCTGGTCGCTGTTGCTGTTTTTGCGAAAAATCATGATTCCCTCGTTCTCTCTCTTCCGTTTTTACCATCCTTCTCCTTATTATTCTTTATCTTTGTCGTTGTCGTTGTCGTCATGAATCAAAAGCAAAAACAAAAACCTCCTCCTCCCCCAATCCCCATGTTCGTTGATATTCACTAATCATCTAATTTCATCCCTTGTACTGAACAGAGTTCACCTGACCCCACCCCCACACCCACACCGCCACACTCTGTTCCATGCCACAGCCGATCACACCACCGTGCTTCTCTTTTGACCTACTACTGCTGCTTGTCCAATGTCCACCTCTATTCTAGGGTTTCCTTTTTCTTAAGATGATCCTCTAGTTCTGTTCTCTCGATCTTTGTGCTCTCTAATCTCTCTTACTTTTCCATTTCAACTTATCATCATACTCCATACTCATCCTCTCTCTTCTTCAAATTTCAAAAACTTCTGTTAACTGTTGCTCTATTTCAATAAAAATCTATGTAGGGGTTTTGTGGGGTTTTTCTTCTTCTAGGATGGGGTTAACTGTTTATTGGATCCACGGTCGTATTACTTAAAAATCCTTTCTTCCTTTTTTTCTCAGAATCTTCTTCTCTTTTTTCCTCGAATCGGATCAATTCTCTCTCCTTTTCCCATACCAAAGTCTTTCGCCATGGCGTATCAGCCATCGATTCCAGCTCCAAGTTCGGGATCGAGTTCGAGTTCTGGGTTTCAATTCTTGAATTCTCCTTTTGGGGATACCACTTACACAAAGGTATTTGTTGGAGGGCTAGCTTGGGAGACTCAGAGTGAGACCCTGCGGCGTTACTTTGACCAGTTCGGTGAGATCCTTGAGGCTGTTGTCATCACTGATAAGAACACTGGCCGATCCAAAGGCTACGGTTTTGTGAGTGTTTATTTTTTTTGATTCATTCAATTTGGTTTAAATGATTTATAGTCTATGTCCAGTCGAGAAAAAGTTTGAGCCTTTTATTTTAATTGATCTTGGGTTTATTCTTCTGAAGTTTTTGAAATACCAGAGGGGTGAAACAATTGAATGACTTGGTTTCCTTTGGTATTTTGTGGAGGGTTTAGGTGACTTTCCAGGACCCCGAATCTGCCAGGAGAGCATGTGCTGATCCAACTCCTATTATTGATGGTAGGCGGGCTAATTGTAACTTGGCTTCACTTGGACGACCCCGGCCTGTTATACCTTTTGGTAATACATCCACATACAGTATTTTGGCTCCACATTTTACATTAACATTGTATGTGGTTGATGATATTTAATCTGACGTTGCTCTGTTACATTCCCTGTGATCAGACAATTATGAAGGTTTCAAATCGGCACAGTGGTTTAGTTAAGGTGATAAAATCTTAAAAATAAACTCTTTATCAAATGAAATAAAAAATAACATCTGAAACTGTATACATAAATCAAGAACCTGTGTATTTTACTTTTGCGTTTTCTTTCCTTCTTTTGGTGCAGGCAAATTGTGGCTGTTTCAGCTTCTGTACATCTTTTGAACTCACCATTTAGGGTGTTGCTTCTGCATTTGACAATAACATGCATGGATTTTTGCGAAGGTGTACACATTTCTGTTTAGATGATGCCGCTATTTATATGTTCCTTGGTCATGAATATTCTTTGCTATTGAGCTGGCGAAGCTTTAGAACCTAGGTACTAGCCTAGGAGTGTATTGTGAGATGATTGATGAAGCATAGGTTCTAGTCTGTTTGGCAGAGTGAGAGTGGTCAATGGGAATTTTCAAACCATCATTTAGTCTTGAGCGTCGCAACTCGTGTACAAAGGAATACTAATTTGTACTTATGTATATAGGAACAATCAAGTATTTCAGAGTTCCTTAAAGTGCACATTATGAACTGTGACTTCGCAAGGCATAGATCTCCTAATTGGATTCAGCTTTCATTACTGATACCTTGCTCGTCAAAGATTCCAGCTAGATTATTGCAGATGCGCTTGTTTTGTGCCTAAATATGACATAAATTGAAAAATGCCATCTTGGTTGTAGGCGTGGGACGGGACAGCTCAAAATATTCAGTCATCAGATAGATTTTTCTACTACTTATGTTGGGTTTGGGGCCCCAAAATCTCAATCCGATTTAAATTCGAATATTGCTCAAATGGAGGTATTGGGTTTTTGGGATACAAGCTGGAGCCAATGAGTTGGTCTTCAAACTTCATTTCACCTCAATTTTGTGTAACCGTGGAATCAAATCCGAACAAAATTTTGAATTTCAAACTGGCTTGAACCCAAATTTCAACCTAAAAATTGAATTTAAATTTTTAGGTCAAGTTGTGTGATCGAGCTAAAAAATTTAAGGAAAATCAGTTTTTGGTTTGAATTTGTGTCCAAATTGAATTCGGGTTGAGGGTATTATTATCAATATCGAAATCATAGATACCCTCAGCATCCTATGAACTTGAGTTTCATGGATCGAAACAGAGTTGTTCACAATCTAGATTGTCAAAATTCTCAATCCCAATCGTAAATCAAATTCTTGAATTAACCCATGGTCGAGTTGATTGCAAATTAGAGCTTATACCAAGTTGTAACCCTAACCTGTTATTTAGTTAATTTTGCCACTTTTTAAACGCATGTTTTTTTTTTTTGTGATGTGAATTTTTGTGTATTACAAAAGTGCAATCACTAGTTTTTGTTTTTTACATACATTAATAGGTAATGTTTTCTTGGTGTATAATGCCTTCGAATTGTTATTGGAAATGTATATGGATGTATAATTATATACAATTTCATATAATGATGAAAATGATTTAGATAAGAGCTACAAAGTGAACCAAAACCTAATGTAGCTTACCAACTAGGTCTATTTCCATCATACTGCTTATCGAAAAAAGTATTCCACGACATGCTTCTATCCGTGTTACATACAAAATCGACCTTGGGTTCTAGGCAATATTGGGTTTTAAATCTCGGGTTAAGCCCATGTGAACCTATTAACTTATCCAGTCCGCCCGAGTCCC